TGGCATTATTTTTTATTATTTTAATGGCTTATATATTTCGGTTAGGTGGGTTTATACCGGGGTAAATCAAAACTTCGTTTTTTGCAATAAATTCAAAATACCCTGTGGAAAAAATGGGACGGGCATTTTGGATAAAAAAAACCCTTTCCTGTAATCTTAGATGTATTCCTAACATTTCATTTTTTGAATTATCTCTATTCTTTTATGAGCTACACATGTTAAATAAAGTACTGATATTCTTACGATCTTGAATTTGTTGAAAATTGAGCTCTCAATGCCCATCGTTATATTGAGGATGTCCTCCAAAAAGTTGTTGTTCCGTTTGCTCCTTTCATTGGAAATAAGTTTGTACTGATGCATGATAATGCCAGGCTCTACGTTGCGGGGGGATAACGAGTTAAGAGTATGAGTAGTTAACGAGTACCTGGATGAGGCTGTACTACGAAGATTGGAATGGCCTCCTTGTAGTCCCGATCAATGTCAATCGAACATTTGTGCGATAAATTTAAAAGAGCTGTTCCTGAGATTTCTCCGTTAATGCTAGCCTTAGCTCTTGTAAAGGGTTTTCTTGATCTATAGCTTGATATTCATCAAGCCATAGATCAAGAAAGAATAGCCACCCTTATTAATTCGATACGACGAAGACCTCGAGCTGTTATAGCTGCAAGAGGTGGACATACACGCTATTAAAATTATTGTAAAATTATTATTTTTGTCAATAAAACAATCTCTGAAATCAATACTTTACTTAAAAATGTGTAGTTCATAAAATAATAGTGATAATGGGATAATTTAAAAAATGAAATGTTGTAAAAGAATGTAGAATGTTTATAGGAGGGGTATTCCCCTTTCTTAAGTTATAACGATTTATAACTCATCATACAGTCTCATGGCTTTAACAAAAGCCAGTATCTGAGACGGCTCCAAAGAGGCCAGCTCTCCATCCTCGACATCAGACGTACCAAAATTCATGGCACGAATGGTCATCGTCTTGGCGCACTCAGTGATAAGGTGTTCTGGTGTTTCCCCATTTTCCCCACAAAATCTGCATTTGCCGTTGCTTCTCAGCTTCAGCCTACTGAGGTGTTCGTTGAGGAGCCAGTGTCCTGTTAGAAACCCCATGACAATCCAAAGATTGTTTTTACTTAAATCAAGGAAAACCTTTGATTTTTCTCGGTCGTAAGTTCTGAGGAACTTTTTCGAGTGTCTTAGACCGTTGGAGGACACCCATTCCAAGTTACGGATGGAGTCTTCCAGATTCTTCAGTTCCGCTTTCAGTTGGTTCCCGTTTGAAAAACAGAACGGTTCTGGTCCAGTTAGTGGAGTGTTCGCTCCTTTCCTAGCTAGATCATTTGCTTTTTCATTGCCTTCTATCCCTTGGTGAGCAGGCACCCAGAGTAGGAGGACTTTATTTTCTTTGCCTAATTTGTTGAGCTTCTCTAGGCATTCTTTGACCAACTTCGAATTGATGGATACTGAGTTGATCGCTGCTTGACTATCGGATAGGATGACAATTTCCTGTTTTCGATAGTTCTTATCTAAGATAAATTGTACGCATCTTTCGATAGCGTAAATTTCTGCCTGAAGGATACTGGGGTAGGTGCCCATTGGTTCGGAGTATTCAGTTTTCGGCCCAAATACTCCTATCCCTGTCCCTGTTTTGGTTTTGGAAGCATCAGTATACCACGTGATAGTATGGTGTTTTATATGCCGAGTAAGCGTTTCTTTCTTCCAATCCTTTTTATTACTTAATACTACAGTGAGGTGTTTCTCAAAGTTGTAAATTCTTGGTATGTTATCCACTGGGAGTTGGAGAAGTGGAATTTGAAGTGTTAGGAATACATTTAATATTACAGAAAAGTGTTTCTTATCCAAAATGCCCATCCCATTTTTTCGACAGGGTGTTTTGAATTTATTGCAAAAAACAACGTTTTGATTTACCAGGTATAAACCCACCTAACCTAAAACGGGCCACACATTATACGATTTATCGTACTGCAGGTTGTACAACACAAATTTGATTCGACCGTTTGAACGACAGATTGGATGCACTGTTGTCCACAAACTTATACTACTAGTTTACTGTCTGTCGTACAATAAATCGTTTCCTAGTTGATTTTGTCTTGTGTTTTTTTTGTATTGTTCGCCCTGACAAAGCCATGGCTTGCCAAAAATGACAATAGTGTGACACAAGTGTGGTCGTTTTTTAGACGAAGATGAGGAATCCTCCCAAAAATTGTAATTAAATATCCCAAAGTAGCATCTTCTTTTATTTCTTTTAATTTTTCCAATACATTCTCATAACGTGCACTTCTTTTATGTTTGTTTAAGTATATTCGTTACTTTTTACATCCAACAAACATGTATGGGAAAGATATATATCTATAAATTCTGACCAAAACTTTTCATTTTCCATTTTTATGAATTGTATTGTACTTAATTTGCCACTAAAAATATTTAGAGTTGATTCCTACAAGAAGCGCTTGCATACAAACTATCAAACCTATCGTATATACTACTGCGTTGTACAACAGCTTTTCTGCATTCCATACTTCCGTACGATACGACTTTGTCTTACTACGAGTAGTACTACAAAGCCACTAACTATCCAACCCCTGTGTCAATGGTAGTATCGACTTGGTGTCGTACTACATGTAGTACGACGAATCGTATAATGTGTGGCCCGTTTAAGAATATAAGCCACTAAAATAAAAGAAAATAATGCCAATAAATTTATCTTCACACTGATACCAAATTCATAAAAATCAGATTACAAAATAAAAAGTTATGAAACATCAAACTTAGTCAAATTTTTAGGCTGGTGGAATTTTGTACCGGAAAATATTACCTTTTATCATGAATTCATGAAAAAGGTAATTATTTTGAAGTTTAAAAATTACATTATCCAGTTAATCTACAAAAGCATATCATCAACATTCGTAAGTTTCAGAAATTTTCGACAATACACAGTAATTTTCCCGAGACGCTTCATAAACTAATTTAATTTTATTTCGAAAATTTCTCCTTTTTTTAAAACATTAAAAACACCGTTTGTTGTTTATTTTTCGCTTAAGCTTACAGGCGAAGTAAGAAATTTGCAGTTCTTCATCGCAGGCACAATGTTTCTTAATTTGTAGCGCCGTGTTTTCCAAAAGGCCCCAATATAATAAGCTTAATTTAAAGTTATTACGTTTTAGTTTTGTCTGTTAGTTAGCTTGGCTGATGTTTCGACTTGCCTTCATTTGCACCCTTCTCAGAATATTAAGATGATTTTTAACGCAAAGATGCATTTTAGAGAAAATTAAGTTAAGTTTTGTAAAATATTCATACAATGGTTTTAATAAACAAAATTGTATACCAAACTCCAGTTGGATGATTCTATATAGATTAAAATAAAAGAAACATTTCCTATGACCATATGTCCCTAAGATGCTTCTTGACGAAGTTACAGCCCTCGAAAGCATTTACAGCCAGCCATTACAGTCCTTATTTGAAACATATCTTGTAAATTTTTAGAGCCAAACCTGCAACTATATATTCTTCAATTCATATTATTTAATCTTTCTTCGGTTAAGTTTTTCTATTTAAATCCCTTAAAACACTACTAACAAAAACAAATCTAATAATATAAATACTTGGAGATTTAAGCAAAAGTAAGTTAAAACAATTCGTTGCGAGACTTATGCAAACTATGGCCTTATTATACTTGTTTCGCGAATGGCTGGAGTTCCTTTTGTGGCGGTTTCGTTCCTGCCTACCACTCTCCCCTCCCATGGTGAAGGAGGTGAGGGTAGAGGAGGTGGAGTTCTCCTCAAAGAGCCTTTGAGATACGTCCGGCGTGTAAGAGAAATGCCGAGTTAAGGCGATGTTTGTACTTTCGCAGGTGATGCCTCCTCTCTCTGCACTTTGGCTCGGTGCAACGTTTTTTCGTTTAAGACTAGAATTTAGTCGAAAAGAAGAGAGATTTGTTCTGGAGAGATCGAAAAAAGGAAAATTAAGCTTGTAAAAAATACGTCTTTTATCAAAGATTGTCTATATTCTGTAAATAATATCTATTTTTTGTAAATAATAAAGTGAAAATCTGAAATAGGATACATACATGATATGAACGGTTCTCTTCTTAATTTTATTATCGATATTCTACTAGATATAAAAATTTATATCGACATTTATAAACTATCGATATTTTTTAAGAATGTCGATACAATACATCGATATTTTACTGATAAGAAATCTTTAATTTTGACTCATTTTATTCCACTAAATATAGAAATTTATATCGATATTTATTAATTATCGATATGCCATATCGTCATACTTCACATTTTATTTATACTATTGTTACGAATTCCGTGGATCCATTAATTTAAACTCACGATAAAATACTTAAGTAATTTATTTTTCTCTTAAATTACACAGAATTTATACTAATATAACACACAATTAACTACTTATAAAATTCCTTCGCCAAATTGTCCGATTCACAATTTTAAACGCGGTATTATCAAATTCAAAACTGGTCCAACTGCCAAGCGCAGGCTTTTATATACCCCTACCAAATGTTTCGGGAACTTTCTATAGAATTCTGTAATATTTCTTTTACTTTCTGGCGAATTCGCCATGTTTCTTGACACGTTGCGGTTTATAGTTACTCGCTTCTCCGACAGATGGCGCCACATACACCTTGACACTATTACATATTTATTATTTTGTATCCTCTATATATCAATTAAAAATATTTAAAATATATACATACACTACAATTTTTCCTGTATTTTGTAAAAAAAAATGTAAATATCTCAAATCGAATCCCTAATATAAAAGTTTTTGTACCCAATTATATTATCAATATTCAACTAGATATAAAAATGTATATCGACATTTATAAAATATCGATATCATATATCGATATTTTTCTAAAAATATCGATCCAAATTATCGATGTTTTTTAAATAAAAACCTCTTTAATTTTGACTGATTTTTCTTCGACTTTTTTCCAGTCACCGAGTATGCGCACCGGCATCTACCTCGTCTGCGCCTGCGCCATGGTGGTCGCCGTCCCCTCCAGCCCCGACGATCCCCGCCAGTTCGTCAACTCGCGCTTCCTGGAGCCGGTAGATGTCGCCGTCGACCCGGAAACGATAAATTACCTTCTGCCCAAGCTGGCGGCCAAGTACAAACCGAACAGCGAGTGGAAGGACGTCACGGACCCCAGACTGTACGTCCTCACTGAGATGGAATCGAACGATGTCGATAGTCCGGTGAGTGTAGTTGGGGAAATTTCGGACGAGTTGACAACGTGGGAACGGGGAAATTTGGGACGAGCTGGCAACGTCGCATTTTTTTCATGGGAATCGATATCGATGTTTTTAAAATATCGATATCGATATTTTTTTCAAAATATCGATATCGATGATATAGTCAAAATAGTTTTCTTTGTAATAGTTTTTATTTTCTTTTCACATTTTCAAAGATATCGATATTATAAAAATATCGATATCGACTTAATAGTTTTCCTATTTTCAAAAACCAAATGCAGCTGAATTTATGCAGTTATAGTTTTGAAGTTAAAATTATTTTACTAAAGATTTATGTTTCTTTAGAGGACGAGTTTTGCATAATGAAATATTCTTACGAAATATTCTATATAAAATTCGTGTTTTTCCGGAAAATGTAAATGAAGGTATATGGAAATCTTATTCAAGGTGTCAAATTATATTTTCAAGTCCATTAAAATGCTTGTAATAAGAATGTCTAAAATAAAATAAGCATACGAAAACATATGTATGTTAATACAAAAATACATAGGGCGTTTTTTTTAATAAATTAACTGGTGTTAACTCTACTACCACTGTGAATTTCCTAAAATTACTTTGTTGATCTACCTAATAACTACCTAAACTTTCACCCCTAATTTCAACCCCTTAGAAGGTTAATTTTCAAAAATCAGACGTCTTAGTACTCAATAACTTTACTTTATGATTTTTGTCTAAAATTTACTACAGTAGTATATTTCTACGTAATATTCAACACAAAGTAATGCTAAAACATAGAAAAAATTATTTTTGTTATTGGGTCAAGTATAAAATCTGGTTTACATTTTTTTTGTTGAAACACGTTTAAGTGAGGCATATTTTTTTGAAGCATATTTTTAAGAGCTTTCTATTTAGTAAACAATTTTTATTCCCTACATACATAGATACTTTTTGATCTATATAGATACATTTTTTTCTGAAATTTTTACCAGCATCGGTATATTTTTAAAATAATTTTTCAGGAATGTAATCTCGATTTGTTATTTTCTGCTTCAGTTTTTAAATTGAAAATTAATTACTACCAGACTCCATCCGTTTAAAGATATAAAGGATTTATTTTTGTTTAATTTCAATATGTATTTACAAACAAAAAGCAGTTGAGTTAAATAAAATTGTTAAGTGAGTTGTAAAATATACGGAATAACAGTAAGTACAACAAAATAATTAAATGTTTTTATTCTGCACAATAATGTAGACATATAGTAGTAGATTAGTTGTATTTATTAAGCAACAACAGTATTATCCAATATATTATCTCGAATATCTCTATTTCTTTTTAATTTAACAATATTGGGTAGCACTGTGTTAGTGTTAGTTATTTATCACAAAATATTCTGCATGACGCACAATCTTACTAACAATAATTTACACACACACTATAACACTTATTTATATAGATCACCTTGTATGTATGTATGTAAACTCTTAAAATTATGTTTATTATAGTGTATATCTAAGAATTTATCTACAGGGTGTTTGAAAAAACATGTTCATAGTGGGGAGACTCCTCATGTAAAAATAAGATTGATTTTTTATATCAACATAGGTACGATTCTGTTTTGTTTCGTATCTACAGGGCGCTAAAGTTTTAATTTTTTTTTTTCGATTTATTATAAATTTCTTCTAAGCGCTTTTAGCGATTTGAATGAAATTTTGAGGATAAAAGTTACTATAAAAGCGACATAGTTTTTATATTTTAATTCTAAAAAAGTGGAATGGTTCATAACTAAAATAGTTTTTTAAAAAAACATGTACGCCAATGACTTTTTTTTTGTTAGCAAAATTGTATAGGCCGATTAACAAGATTATTTTAAGCCTCATTTTTAATAGTGTATATTTATATTAAAATGAAATTTTAAAATAAAAGAAACTAAATAAAAAAAAATAAAAGACGATAGTCAGGTGAGTGTAGTTGGGGAAATTTCGGATGAGTTGGCAACGTGGGAACGGGGAAATTTGGGACGAGTTGGCAACGACGCATTTTTTCACGGGCATCGATATCGATGTTTTTAAACTCTCAATATCGATATTTTCAAAATATCGATATCGATGATATAGTCAAAATAGTTTTCTGTATTTTTTATTGTCTATTCATATTTTCAAAGATATCGATATTTTAAAAATATCGATCTCAGCATCGAAGGAGATCGAAATCTACAAAATATATACAACTTCTAATCGGCATTAAACGGACTACACAATTTTGGTAACAAGAGAGAAGGAGTCAGCGGCGCACATGTTTTTTTAGAAAATATTTTTGTGATAACCTATATGCACGTCCCTGGTAAATTTCTCGACACTTTTTTTGCATTAAAATATGTAGTTTGACTTTCAAAATTTCATTCGAATCATTTAAAACACTTGGAAGGAATCTACAATAAATCGAAAAAAAAATAAGACTCCCTGTAGCTACGAAACAATGCTGATTAAAATACTCCTCTGTACGTTGTTAGGAATAATTTTTTTTTTAAATGTCTAAATGTAACTACCTTAATAACACTCATGTAAACTTTTTTTTACTTTATAAACATTAAGAGACACAATTTAATCTATACAATGTATGTATGTGGTTGTATAGATAAATAAATATATTCTTTTCATCTTTTCCAGAACGGTGTACTCAGAAAGCTCAGAAACAAGAGAAACAACGGCTATGGCATCACAAGACTGTCAGTCAACGCCCCCGTCAGCGTTTTGAGAGACGCCTTCGACAGGGAAAAGCTCAAACAAAGAAAACTCAAAGTCAGAGCCCTCATAGAAGAACTCCTCAACAAGACACCTTAAATTTGTTCAAAAATCATTGATAAACTATTAAGTTTTGAATTTAATAGTGATGGGATAGGTTTCAAAACACAATATGTTAATATATGATCCACTTCTTATAAGTATAAAAGTTCTCAAATAATGAATGCAAAGATATAACTAAAATTATACAGTTTTATAGACTTCCTTGTATTCCTGCCCATTACAAAGTTGCTATACTCACAAACGCTAACTTATTTTTATTTATTTATCACAGAGAATTCAAAGACTTGACGACTTATCTATTAGATAGTAGGGATGGAGAGCAACTTAAAATCTACAAAAAACTAGTGATAACAGAGTATTATAATTATTGTAAATTATTTATTGAGCTATATAGGAGTATTCTAGTCACGCTAAATTATTGTAAAACGTTCGAAACAGTATTAATTTGTATGTTATTGTGTTTTTTAATTAGAAACGCAAATAAAGAGGAAAAAATAAACAAATAATAAATATTTGAAAAGAAAAAGTGTGTTTTAATTTATTTTTTTCCTTAAAAACTTACTTTGGTAGTTGGTAATTTGGTAGTTGGAAACATACTGTTTTAGATAGAAAGAACACTAAACAATTTAAAAGGTAAAATAACAAAATTCCGTGACAGGAATATTCAATTTCAGTATTATTTTAGGCGTCCCTGTATAAACCCTGGAGGTAGCTATCAGATAAGCTTGTTTACATTGTCCCCTGTGTGTTTATTGAAGCATCATTAAGGACACAAATGTATTTGTTTAAAGAATTACATTTTTAACATGCATCATTTTGTTTTGTTTATACAAGTGTAATAAATGAAAGTAATACTAAAAAGATTAATGGATTTATAGTAGGCATGTACTTACTTATCGATTCAAGGTGTATTATGTTGTTTTCATACAGGGTGTCTCATAATAGTTTCATAGTTGTCGATTTTCGAAAGAAATATTATTTGCATATGCATATTATTTCGTATATTTTTCATTTTATTGATTTTATGGAGAGCAATGTTTATTAAAATGTTGTATTCTATATTATAGGGCTTGTTTCTCTCTACAATTTCCTGTCTCACAATGTACCGCTTGTGTTCGGGAAGGGTTCATAGTTTCATAATTGTCGATTTTCGAAAGAAATCAGTACATGTATATTATTTCGTATATTTTTCATTTTATTGATTTTATGGAAAGCACTGTTCATTAAAATGTTGTATCCTATGTTATAAGGCTTGTTTCTCTCTACAATTTCCTGTCTCACAAAGTACAGTTTGTGTCGGGGAACGGATCATAATTTTATAGTTGTCGATTTTCGAAAGAAATCAGTACATGTATATTATTTCGTATATTTTTCATTTTATTGATTTTTTTGAAATATAATAGGGGCAACTATTTAAAAAAAAATAAGAAAAAAAAATTTTTTAACAGTATTTTTTGCCAAGAAAGGGGTTGTTTCTGGAATACTAAATATACTACCAGTTAAAATAAATAAATGTTTTTATTTAATAGAGACCTTATACCGTGCTGGCAACTGTTACTTTTGGGTCGGCATTTACATGTGTGGAAGTAAATCGCATCTTATTAAGTCGGAGTGAGAGAAATGCGACCGACCGACGCGACGCGCGACGGTGGCTGTTGCGGCGTGGCCGATACGCCTTTCCCTATCACAACCTTTTTAAAATATTTTTTTTTCAAGATATAACTAGATAAAATCATTAGGTTTGTAATGTTTCTGAGCATCTGAAATGGAATTATAAGGATGTCGTTAGGGTGTCGCGATAATTTAAAAACTCAACTTTTTAACACATAACAGGCCATAACTCAAGAACCACCTTAGATATTGAAACTTTTTTTTATTTTCAAGATGGGATATTTTACAATATGTTTACATAATAAAAATTCGATAAGGTTTTTTTTTCCATTCAAAAATTGTAAACAATCCATCCATTTACTTTTAGAGCATAGCAATTTTCAGCAATCGTGTAATTTTTTTATTGATAAAGATTTTCACATACTGTCTACGAAAAAAATACAGCAGAAATATTAACAAAGTTCTTGAAAAAACTACAATCTATTATTTCTAATAGATTTTGAGATATCGATTTTTGAATTCAGAGTTGTAATAGCGCGACCACTATCGAACCTTTCCAATTATTTTTACCAAAAATGTAAGTGTTTCTAGCTTGCACTTAAAAAAATTCAAGCTATAGGGAAAATTACAACGACTCGTTAATAAGTAAACAAATCAAGTATCACGAGACGTAATTAAATCGTGAAGCTGAACGCATGACGTACACCTTTCCCTAGAACTTTAAGTACTGACAGAGGTATTGATTGGGTCGACCGGTCAACTGCGACAAATCTGCTATATCCCCTTCCACGTCTCTTAGTTTTCTAGTCTTCTCTCCTTCCACGTTTATTTCTTACGTTTGGCAACGTGTTTACTGTCCTCTCTTTGTTCAGTACATTATAAACGCATTATACTCTTCTTACATACGGAAATCTCGACCCAAGACTAACCTTTGCCAGCCTTTAGTATATGATTTTTATATCAAGATAAAGTGAAAATCATATATCGATAAATTATGGTATGGTATATGTAGATTCAAACAAATCCAAAAGTTACTTATATAGTTTTATGCCAGAATATCAATTTTTTCAGTTTATAGTTGCTACTTAAAACACTAAAAACCAAAACAAAGCAAAATGTTGCATATAGATATATTGTTACAAAATATGGATATTATTGAAATTCTCGTGTTTTTCATCTAATATACAAAATCCAAAAAAAGAGAATAAGACAATATTTTAGAAAACTACAATGATAAATTATTTTTTGGCGGAGAAAATGTAATTTGTGAGGCAAAAAAGTATTCTGAAACTCATGTAGAATTAATAGAGGGTAAATGTTAAAAAATACCCTGGTCTTAAAGTTAGCCCTTATATTTTAGGAATAAAATAAAATATTTATATTTAGAGGGTTGATCTAAATTTTACGAACTAAATTCAAATAAATGTCTCTTTTTTAACAAACGTCATTCTTAATAGTCTATATTTATTTTAAAAACAAACTTTTAAAATAAAAGGAACTTAAATAAAGAGAATAAAAGACTTAACTAGTTGAAGTTAAATATTAAAAAATAAAACACTAAGGTAAAAACACACACTATCACATTTTTTAAATTTGATAGGGATGGGCAAAAGTATCGAAACTTTTTACATGATATCGATACTTGGACAGAATAGTACATCCCTAACCACAACAGTAAAAATCCATTAAATTATTTTAACTGCTTTCTTTTCAGAAGGACCCAAGACTGGACACCCTGAACCAGTACATCAGACCGAAAAAACAATCGAACCGCATCGGCGACGCTGGTGGCTCCCTCTCCATCGTCAACTCCCTGGACGTCCTGCGAAACAGACTGCTGCTGGAAATAGCCAGGAAAAAGGCCAAAGAAGGCGCCAATCGCAACAGGCAACTCCTGATGAACCTCGGCAAAAGGGCACCATACCTACACAACTTTGTCGTACCCAAAATATTCTTTCCCGCTAAATAAACCGTTTTTTAGAACCTATAGGAGGCTTAGGATGAGGAAAAAAACCGTGCATAATCAAGAAAAATTACGCTCTCGTTTTGTTTATTTGTTAGAGATGGGTAAAAGTATCGTTTTTTTTTAAATATCGATATTTTGACTCTGTTATTTATTAAGAATGAGAAAAAGTATCGACATTTTAGTTTGAGTTTATTAGGACTGGGGTATAAGTATCGATATTTTGGGGCGGGTAGTTTTTTAAGGCTGGAGAAAAGTTTCATTTACATTATTTTCAATATGATCTGGAAACCACTCTTCTTTTATTTGACAGAGATGGGCAAAATTATCGATTTTTTAAATATCGATATTTTGACTAGCTTAGTTTATTAAGAATGGGGAAAATATCGATATTTTTAAGTATCGATATTTTTGTTTTAGTTAGGACTTGTAAAATATCGATACTTTTGATTTATCGATATTAGGTTTGAAAGCAGCAGAATAAATTTTAAAAAAATGCTTGATTATGCATTGTTTGAAACGTCATTTTTGACATATTCGGATTAAAGAAAACATATATTTATAGAACAAGAATAACGATATACTATGTCCATTTGCTTTTTGATGTATCTAAATTGAATATTATTTATACAGTGAAAAAACAGTGTGCCATATATTTTTTGTTTTTTTTTTATAAATTACAATACTTTTTTTTATATAAACATTTTGATTATTTAAAAACAAATTGATTCAGTTACAGTACAAGATAAAAAATAATTTCAACAAATACCCAAAAAAATAAACTGTGTCTAGTATTTTAAATTAAAAAGCATATCAACAGTCTTGCTGGTCAAGAACTTAATAATTTTATATTCGATTCTATTTTATTAAAAAAAATTATATTAAATCAAAACGACCTATAATTATTGCCAAATTATATAAGACTTAAGTAGATCTTAGAAAACTTTATTTATCTCATATAGTATTTAAAAGAAATTTCAGCTCTAATGGCTTTTGCTTATATAAAAAAAAAAGATTATTTATTTTTTGTAATATAATAAAAGAAAAATTAAACGTTGAGCTTTTAGCACTAAGCCTAATAGTTGTAACAATAATATTAAAAATGTAAACAAAATAAACGTATTACACTTAGCTAGATAGTTTCTATCAACGATTATACTGACGACAATGAAATAGAGAAAAAAAAGTTTTGTTTGCAAACGACTCTGAAAGAGAAATAATAGAATTTGTTAGTAGGAAATTCCATTTCAAGAGAAACATTGTCTACTGTCTTTAAATAAATTGATCAGAAGTTGTGTATTATAATGATAAGAAAATTGTACAGAACAATTATTATTGTAGATGAGGAGATTATAAGTAAAATAAAGATATAACTATGAGCATTCCACTTTTCATTTGAATTTTATTTTTTAGTTCCATAAACCTATAGAAAAAATAAACATATAAATACAGGGTAGCACCTCTCATACGCCGCGGAAGCTCCAAGGAGAACGGTAGTTTATATCTAAATGAAATTTTGGCAGCATATGTAGATTAACTGAAAGCATTTTATAAAAATATAGAGTGTTCGACAGGGTGTCACCCAATAAAGTTACACATCAAAGGTGTGTGTTTTCTAATGGAACACCCTATATATTAATTGATTTTCGGATTCTAGGAAAAAAATAAAGGTGAATTTTATTAAAGAATTATATACCGAAAATCTAAGGATTTTGACATATTTCATATTTTGTGAAAATGAAGAGTAAATTTTAAATTTAGATAACAGCTACCTAAATTTTAGTTGACCTTGTTATATAGCCTGATATTTAATTACGGTAACCATTGTATGTTAAACCAAATTGAAATTTTACCCGAAAAGTTATGCACGGTGAGACAAAATTAATATGGAACATTAGTCACGTTTAAAAGCAAGTTACAGTACGTCTGTTCGTTCTGTGGCTACGGGGTATCCGTAAGAGGGGAAACGATATTCTCTCGATGTTTTTCGTAAAAAATTAGACGACGCGTCCCATCAATAAAAATTCGACAAATTTGCAAGTAGCCAATAAAATGAGTGGGCGGAGCGATTTGCGGTGATGTACTCGTCAAGTCGACGTATAAAATATATTGCTGTTTATTTAAATGTTTTTTGTCCGCATTCCTTTCATAGACACAGATCCAGCAGACGAACTGTACTCCTTTATTTTAAATGGAACAACCAGTATAGTACGTCTACTGGCAAAAAACATTTAAATAAACAACAATATATTTTATTCGTCGACTTGACGAGTACGTCACCGCAAATCGCTCTGCCCACTCATTTTATTGGCCATTTGAAAATTTGTCGAATTTTTATTGATGAGACGCGTCGTCTAATTTTTACGAAAAACATCGAGAGAATATCGTTTCCCCTCTCACGGATACCCCGTAGCTATAGAACGGACAGACGTACTGTATATTATTTCGTTTAATGGGGAATTTATATATCTTCAAAATATTATTAAGGTTGCCTACCCCTGAGACAAAGATTTTCCTAGATATTTTAATTTTTACGATTTTGTGTCAGTAGATATTTATTATTTGAATAAAACTAGGGGGGGGGTGTCATACCTTAATTACGTTTAACGTTAATTTAACAAAAATTAAAGGATGTAGAATAAAATACTCAACGATAATATAAAGATACACGTTCAAAACATATTTTAATTATTTCAGAATTAAAACTAGATATAAACCTATAATTATGTGACCAAAAAAATTAGCTAGATGAAATCAAATGCTCAAAATGCTTCCTTTCCTGTTAACTGCATAAAATGATTGTCTTTTCAAAAGGATCTTTTTATTTTAAAAGGCATATGTGGAGTTCTACCTCGAAAAGCAGCTACAATAATTTCTCTCATGTTGTCGACAATAGTTGGTCGAGTGTCGAGTTTTGTAAACATTGTCTTTAACATAACAAAAAAACCCAGACTAGATAAAATCAGGACCATTTAAGCATTCTATTAATTGGTGAATGCAACCTGCATGCAGGAATTTTTTCTTAAAAAATTTAAAAAATTTGTGTTGGAAAAATGTTGAATAGAGATACCTCCATAGACACTGACTTGGTTTTACTTAAGATCTCGCAACTTTTTAGTGCTCCCTAACTAAACAACTGCATTGTGAGACTACTCTTATACTCTGAAAAGCTTTTTCTTTGTTGAAACTAACATATTGCATGAAAATTTCGGCTTATGCCCTATAAAAATTAGTTTATTTCTGAACGTCCATAAAGCAAAAATACACTCCAAAATAGAGTCGAATCGTTCGTACAGCTTTATGGCCGTTTTTATCTTTTACGACCGAATCATAAAAATCAAACAACCAACTACCGAAAGCAGTAAAATCGTTTAACAAAGATATCAAAAAGGAAATTTACTAAACTGGTTGCTATTTCTGTTTTTATTCCGTTTTTGTAGAGTATGTAATAATGACGTAATGTCGACTTGTGTAAATTAAATAGTAAACTAATTCCGAGTCCAGACCAAGCAGACAGAACAACAACACAGAAACATTCATGTTTTACGACAAAATTGCGACATTTCTTCGACATTTTCGTCTCCTTTTTGTTTTGTTTCAAAATTCGGAGACTTTTTAATGTCCCGTCTCGAGTCGGTAAAGATCAAAGTGTCTATGTTTTGTTCGTATATTTTGCGACAAGTTGTCGGCGCAGTGTGGATGGCCTGTGCTGCCAACAGTAGGAGACCAGTTAAATCACACATGGTTAATAAAACTCATTCACAACAACTAATCTTTTCACTTTGTTGTACTTGTGTCCTTGCGGTGTGGACAATTTGTCTCAAGTTTGTTTTGTCAGAATTCCCTATTTTTTGTCTATTTAGTTTGTCCTGTTTTTGTCTCCAAATCGTGTTTACTTTTTGTCGTTTTGGTCTGGACCTGGCATAACAGACGTACGTATATGGATTGAAGTGTAACATTAATAATTAACAACAGTCCTCCTACTCAGAGTTCCAGTCCCAGCCCACCAAAGGGTAGAATGTAGAGATGAGCAGGAAATCAGAAACTGCGATTGAATCGCAGCGATTTTTGAATCGCAATCGCAACCTGCGATTGGCTCTCATAGGAAACATGCGTCTGTTTGGTTTGGTTGGTCAATTTAGGCAACCAGTATTACTATAGCTGTGATTTGCGATTTTGTTGCGATTTTGCTGCGATTGTGATTTTGTAAACTGGGACAGTGATTTCTATCTGCAAGTTTGAATTTTTACTTTATTAATTTTTTGGCTGGCCATCCACACCTGGACAGACAAATAAAACCACGAAATCTTAATCAAAAAACACCTTTATTAGTTCCTTCTTATTAACCTTTCCCATCGCATTCTTCGGTATCTCTTCAACAACCCTCAAAACGCTAGGCACCCAATACCTGGGCATTTTACCACCGGCCCAACCCCTCAAACCCTCCAAATCAAACTCACTACCCCCTCCAGTCTGCGGAACCACGATTACCCCCACCCTTTCACCGTAGACGTCATCGGGCACTCCGAGAACCGCGCATTCTTTAATTCTTTCGTGCTCCAAAAGGAGAGTCTCGATTTGTAAGGCACTGATCTTGTAACCGCCTGATTTGATTATGTCCACGCTTTTTCTGCCTAGAATTCGAAACTTTTGGTCTTTTTCGACGAACTGTGCTAAATCACCGGTCTTGAACCAGCCGTTAATGAATTCTTTTCGTGTCGCTTCAGGTTTACCGAAGTATTCCTTAAAAACACTGTCTCCTTTTACTAAGAGCTCACCAGTTACATCTCCTGAACCGTTTTTTTCGTAAACCAAGCTTCCATTTTGGTTAGAACACTGTAAAATTACTGTACCGTCGTTTTGGTCAGCTAGAGCAACACTTACTGAAGGTAAAGGAACTCCCACAAAGCCAGGACTTCGATCGGAATCATACAAATTCGATAAACACATTCCTATTTCAGTCATACCGTACCTTTCCAGGAGTTTGTGGCCTGAAAGTTCAAACCATTTGGTATGTACGGGAGCTGGCAACGGTGCTGAACCGCTTACCATCAACCTAACATCATTTTCAAGCACTTTTCTTACATCTTTTTGTTTATTTTTAATATTATTCTCGTATTCGTCAATTAGTTTTGAATAGATTGTTGGTACAGCCATGAAAACTGTGATTTTTTCCTTGTTTTGCAAGAAATAGTTCCATATTTTGGTAGGATTGAACTTGGGGAGCATTATAGTTGTTGCGCCGACGTATAGAGGGCAGAACAGGGCGTTTATAGTACCGTGGACGTGGTGTAGAGGAAGTGTGTGTAGGATGACGTCATTGGAGGTCCATTTCCAGGCTGAAGTAAGGGTTTCGACCTGAACTCGTAGGTTTTTATGGGTAAGAACAACGCCTAAAAAATATGTTGATATGTGATGAGTAAAATTTATTTTTCTCTGATGTTATCTTACCTTTTGGACTTCCTGTTGTTCCACTTGTATATAAAATCATAGCTTCGTTTGTATTAGGAATAATGTCTTCGTTTATTTCTACGTTACTTTTTAACTTGGATGGTTCTGTTATGGTTTGGGGAAGTACATAAAGCGGTACTTTACTCGCTGTTGCCAGATGTTCCATTTGCGGTTGAAAATTCGAAGAACTCACTATAAGAGCGCTGTTTGTATCGTTTGTATAGTAAAGGAGTAGACTATCTGGATGTAAGGGACTTAAAGGTACAGCTAAAAATATTATTAGTATATTAATTAGACAAAATATTAAATAAAATTTTAATTCTATGCTTACTAAGACGACGTTTTTTTTTAATTCTTACCTATTTGCCCAGACATCCATATTGCCCATAATGTAATCACGTAGCTCACATCGTTAGGACAAAGAAATAAAACTCTTTCACCAGTTTTTTGGTTTAAAGCTGACGATATATTTTTAGAAAGTGTTGTGGCTTTTTGATAAATATCACTGAAGGTATGCCGTCCAATATCATCCTGTATGGCAACTTTATCTTCAAATTTCTTCGCATCATAGTACACAGGACGTACAAAATTATTTGAACTGGTTGAATAACACAAAAATTTCAACAATTTATTGTTATTTTTAAGTAACGATTTTTCAACAAACTTTCTTACAACAGATTGCGTAAACATTATGAAAAATAATCAGAAAAATAAATTTAACTAGGATGTTTTCATTATCGTTATAATTTTTAATCTGAACTCCCATCAGTAATTAAACATAATAATACACCTAGAAAACATCACAAGGCTGATTATTTTTAGTCATATGTATTTGACAAATTTTATTTTATTTATATTAAACAAAAAAAAATCACTTATTTATATTAAAGTGGTTTACTTAATATTAGATAAAACAAAAACACTTATCACAGTTTATCATAAACTAACTAGATATTATGTAAAATAGATGAAAAGGTGAGATATATTTAAATAAATTTTAAATTCAAATTTTAATCTATAGACGCCATCTTGTCATAAAAATTAAAATCTGAAGTTTGTAGAATTCTATAATTAATTTCAGTGCTGCCATCTAGTAAACTAATCTAGAAATTTCTACAGTTTTATTACAGGTTTCTATTAATTACAAGCGCCATCTAGCCAGAAAAATTAAAATCACACCTTTGTAGAATTCTATTCTTCCTTGTGGTGCCATCTATTAAACCAAACTAAAAACTTCTATATTTTTGACAGATTTCAAAACTTTTTAAATTCAAACAAAACATAAAAAATATAACTTTATTCAAAGAATATACATTTTATTCATTTTCTTCTGAATCGGAAGTAAGATTTGTATCATCATCATCACTAAAATCATCAAAATCGTCCTCTTCATTTACTTTTAAGGTTTTTAATTTATCTACCAAGTCTTTTCTTTGTTTTTCTGCATCTTCTTTTACTGGATTTTCAGAAGATTTGTTCATAAAACGTATAAAAGTTCTTCGTTTTCTTTCAGGTAAGGATTTCAGAAGTTCTTTCATTTCTTCATCCAGTTTTATTTGATCTTGTTCAGATGGAGGTGATTGAATGATTTCTTTGGACTGTCCACATTTTGCACACACACCTAAAAAACAATTTTATACATACTATACCACGATTAATACTATTATTATACCTAATTTGTGAGCACAATCCAGGCACATAATATTATAGGCTCGTTTAACACTCTTGTTTCCACATTTAACACATTTTTTGGGCTGTGACAAAGGCTTATACTTTTTATACTTAATTTTCCATTCAATAATATCTTTACATCTCTTACAAACATCCCCAACTTGAATTGAATTAATTACTTTCGTTTTAGTACTGGTATCGTAGAGATTATTCTTAAAAGCAGCTTTGTTTTGGTGTTTTTGTGGTCTAGACCTTGATGAATTGCCCCTTTGGCTACTCATAGTGATATTCTAACTAAAAAAAATAAGAAAAAATGCATTTTAATATAAACAGGTTTATTTATTCTCAGATACAATACTGGCAACATTAACTTTTAAAAGCTCCAGTTCTGTCTTTTTATTTAGTTCAAACTCTTTGAGCAAGAGTATCTCTAACTCTTTATATTCCTCAAGAATAACACCGATATTCTGTTCATTAATGTATCTACTTATTAAACTCTGACCATACGCCATTTCACCGATAGTTTTCAGTAAAACTAAATACTCATTTAACTCTGAGTTCAATTGGGTGGCTAATAGACGGTATTCAGGTAACTGATCCCATATTTCTGATTCGGCGGATGAAGCTTTTTGTATAAGTTGGATTTGCTTGTTTAAACACGATCTATACTCTTCTGAAGCTAGTTTAATCAGGTCCTTTAGATCGGACATCAAACTTAAAATACCGCTAACGCCTTCTTCGCATGCTTTCTTCAGTTCTTCATCGTTTGAATCATTTTTGAAATCACCCACCAATGTACTACCAATAGTAAACGTTACAAACCTTTTTCTAGCAACTGCAGCTGAATTATAACAAACTATTCTTCGGTTAGCTTTAATTAAATGTCTGTTTTTAAATAAATATTGAGATATTCTTCGAAAAGTATTCATTAACATTTATTTTTACGACTCTGAAATAAGGTTATGTTTCATTTAACAACTGTCAGTCTGCTGTCAGTGTCAAATATATCTTAAGCAGGGTTTACACCTATGGTTTACACTCGGGAAATTTTCTTTTATACAATTTTCTTAAGTAAAAAACTTTTTATTAGCTTTGTTCGGGTTCTTGTTATTACCGATTTTGAACCGTCCTAGAACTCTGCAGCGCATGCGCAAATGAAATAATGTCTTTATATTTCCTTCTACGCATACGCATCACAGTTCTAGGACGGTTCAGAATCGGTAATAAGAGAAACCCGAAGTATTATAAGCTATTTAATCACTGTTTAATTAAGGACTAATTATGTTTATCGCTAAAGGTGTGGATTCGGTGCGCACATCGTCGATGTTGCCAGATTGCAAGTTATTTTGGAATTATTTTCAGTAGAAAACAAATTATGTTTTTTTTTTTGAATTTTTAAATGGGTATACCTTTAAATGCTGTAGTTCCATATCATGTTCATACTAATTTTTATAACATTCCATTAAAATTGTAGAATCGGCAACATTAATAGTTACCTTGTTTAATTCTGCTTATACATATTGCATTAATTTTTCTGCTATCTTAAGATTTTTATATCCTTACACCTATATAATTTACGTAATTTTCTTAGCATGTCTAAAATATAAAATATTTGGTTTATTATATAATTAAGATATCTTAACAGTTATTTTCCACACCACAAAGCATAATAAATAATAATATGTACTTATAGTATCCTTGGTAGTATCCTTGTAGCACAGAATATCTAGCTACGCAAGCTAGATATTCTGTGCTTGTAGTATTAAGCCATAAAAAATATTATAAAAAATAGCAATACGCTCAAAATTATACCTTCACCATATTGTCAAGATTTTATTTTGGCATTACAGGAAACAAGAAATTACAGTAAATTAAAAAAAGAATAATCATAAATATACCAATATCATATATATATATATATATATATATATATATATATATATATATATATATATATATATCAATATACCAAGTACGCAATGTATTCTACGACATAAACCATCATCTACAGAGTAAAAGATAAAACATAAAGATATATTTTTTTAAGATTTTTAACACCCTGAAGATCAGACAGGGACCCTATAAGGACCCTATGTTTATATGAGCTTTTTTTCTTAAAAATACATGAGCAACCATACCCTGTATTTTTTTAGACTATATGTAGAAAACATCCTGTTTACACATAGTGCTCGAAGCTTTCATCGAACAAATTTTGTATCGAAGAGGCAACACATTCTTGTTTACTCTTGTGTTGTTTTGGGGGTTGGAAATTGTTAAAAATCTACAAAAACATAATTAGTAAGGCACAGAATCTTGATAAATGTGGTTTTTTTTATTGATTTCAAATCAAAATTAGTGAAATAAAAGTAAATATCTTGTAAAAGTTACATATTCTTGTTTTGGGGCTTGGAAATTGATCAAAAAACTACAAATACATAATTTTTACAGCACAGAATCATGTTAAATGAGGTTTTTTTTATTGATTTCATGGCAAAATTGGTGAAATAAAAGCAAAAATCTTGGCCATTACATTGACTAAGAAAATGTCTTGTAGAAGTTATAAAAAGGGGTATTACTGCCTTGTTTTATAATTTATAGATGTAATAAGTCTCTATTTAACTAAATATTACATTATTTCGGAAAATACCGAACAACAAAGTTATATTAATTGAAGATTGTGAAGGCTGCAGAACCGCCACAATATTATCGAATTTTATTCTAATTTATATGGGTTTAATAGGTCTGAAACTGCTTAATTAACTATATTTAGTGATAATCTATAATTCCTTAACTATTTTAAAGCTTCAAAATCTTTTTTAAGGCAAAAATCTATTTTTTTATGATATTAACAATTAGGGACATTGGGGTAATTAAAATGCGATATCTATGTGAATTTTGCTTTATTCGTTTATTGTTTGGTGTCATTTTATTCGGAAAACATGTAGCTACATTTCCCTGGTAGTAGTGTTGTCTCCAATGTAGCGTTATATTGCTAAATTTTCATTTAAACTTGAAATTTAGGTCATAAAATTACATAATTTTTCATCGGTAAAACAAATGAAAAGCTAAAGTTGGCGCTCCCTCTGGCGTCAAAAATCAGAAACCGAGCGCCAAAACGCAATATTATTGGTCGTTTCGGTCGAATTTCATCATCATTCATCATTTCTAGACAGACCCTGTGGACAGACCATTGACGATGTAAAATATTTGCCGGTTGCCTCTCCAGAATTTTTAAGGAAAAGTGCCATTTTCTTGTATATTGTGCTCGGAAATCATGTGTAGTGCATAGCTGGACTCTTAGAGAGGGTAAGTTCGCCCATTTTCCTAAGAATTTCCCGATATTTTTCGAAAAATCCGACCATCTAAAGGCGGCCGGTAGAAGCCCAAGATCGACAAAAAAAGTCAAAGCCACCTTTTTTTTGTTAAACTTTCCGTTTCTTTCTGTTTGCTTTTTTTATACTTTCTGTTGCTATAAATAGTTCTTTTTTATGGTTGTACAGTATTAAAACAAATCATTTTCAGACTTTATATAAATAGTTTGATGAATATAGGATTTTAGAAATTGAAACCTTATATAAGTGAATAAATTATAGTCAATCAATTTTCTGAAGAATATATCTACTAGTAGTGCACTTGATATGGTTTTTCTTAAAGATATTATATAATAGAAGAATACTTATGTAATAAATCTTTTATAAAATAATCTAAATAGAGTTTAAGAACCTGTAAAACACGAAAAATATACATCTGCCTGTATTTATCTGCTAATCCATTAATTTTATTTATTTCTTAGAGACATTTTGCTTAGGTTTTTATGCTTCTATGTAACTAAAAGATATTTTGTCTTGTTTCAGATTATGCCAGAAAGTATCCAGGGTTACGGATATCCAAGAACCACACTGGCAGTGAAGAAGGAGATGACGAATATCAACATAGCAACAGATCTTCAAGTTGCAAAGAAACCAGGCTGCCTTTGGATGGAATGGACCAAGGATCGGTATGGGTCTGGACACGTCATATAGCTCAGGTCGTACCTGAGCTCGGGCGCTGTATCCAGACGTGCTGCACTCCGGGAGTGAATGTGCGCCTTTACACATTTTGCTCGGTACAATCGCGGGTAGGGCCCAGCTGGACTCGAGAGATGGTAAGTACGACCATTTTCCTATGAATTTCCTGATATTTTTCGACAAATCGGACCCTCTTAAAGCGGCTGGCTTGAAAGCAATTCTATTGGCTGAATGTAACGTCATTTCTTTTCCGATTGGTCGAAATTTAATCGGGCAGTGTATAACAGTTTTGCCTTTTTTATAATTCCTGCTTGCTATAAAAAGATGTAATTTGTTGTGGATTTCTAAATTTGATGTTTTTATGGTTATACAGGATATCTATTTATTAAAATAAATAATTTTTAGGCTTAGATACCTTCATGTATATAGTATTTTCGAAATAAAAGCCTTAATATAAGTGAATATATATTAATCACTCAATTTGCTGAAGAATATTTCTAATAGTAGTGCATTTGATATGGTTTTTCTTAGAGATATTATATAATAGGGGAATACTTATGTATTACATCTTTTATAAAATAATCTAAATAAAGTTTAGAAAGCTGTAAAAGACAGAATTGGCATCTGCCTGTAGCTGCTTTAATTAGTGAAATATTTAATGAAGAATAACTAGTGAAATTTATATTGATAATCAGCTGATTTTTTTCTTGAAACTGATCTAAACCCTAAAAATTAAAATACTGGTTCCTTGTTTTTTTAAGTTTGTGAAATATTTCTCTAGAGTCTATGTTATTAATTGTGCATTGATTATTTTTTTCTAAATATATTTGCATTCATTTTATAAAAGCACTTAAGATGTTTTTTTTTTAGAAAAGATGCATTTAAACAAAATATCATTTAGAAAATTAATATAGGTATTTTACTTTTATTGTTATTGATAGTTTTTCTGAAGCTAGTAAATTTTGCTTGCTAATTCATTGATTTTATTTATTTCTTAGAGACTGTGTTCTTGAGGTTGATAAAAAACTATAATATCTTTTTGTTGCTTCTGGCAAGATTTTCAAATAGTTTACTAATATTTTATTAACTTTTCACCCACTACTAATCTCTACAGAAATATGTATATATTTTTATTTTCTTTTTTTAATATTTGGGAAGAAATTTTTAAGGAATGTTATCAGCTGTCTTTTTTTAATAATGGTACTTTATTGTAATATTTTATTTATACTCTGTTACACTCTGTCTCTATGACTTTTATCTGTTTTATCTATATATATTTATTTTTTAAATACTTTTTTTATTATATAGCTATTGAAATGTCTTGGTAACAATTTTTTAGTACATGTAGATATACATATAGGGTGAACCAAAATTACAATATTATTCACCTACTCTTTCAAAAAAAGACACACTAAGATTTTTAAATATTTAATGATATTTTACTGTTTTTTCGTCCATTATTAATTTCTACAGAGAAATATATTTTATATATTTTTGTTTTCTTTTTTAGACATTTGGTATAGGAATTTTTAAGAAAAAAGAAAAACTATTAGCTGTTTTCAATGATATAATTTCATTAGATTTTCCTAAAATAATGCTACTTTCCAGGCTATTTTATTGTAATTTAATTTTTATTATACTATTTCTGAATGACATCTACATAATATATTTTTTAAATAATTTTTATTAAATAGTTATTTAAATTTCTTGGTAACAATTTTTATTAGCATTCATAGGATCATAGGTATATAGGGTAAACCAAAATCACAATAGATATTATTCACTCCCTTTTTCAAAAACAGATCACACCAAGATTTTGAAATATTTTACTGGTGTTTTATTAATATTATATTTAATATGTATATTTATTGGTTTTTTTTTATAATATTTGTATATATATTTTTAAGAAAAAAATATTAACTGATTTCAATGATATAATTTCATAGAATTTTTTATACGTCGTTCTTTTTGGCTTACTTATATATCTATATTTATTTTTTAAATTATTTTTAATTAAATAATTTTTTTAATTTCTTGGTTAATTTTTTTTGGAACTCATAGGTGTATAGTAGGGTCTCAACCAAAATTACAATATTATTCACCCACTTTTTCAAAAATAGCTCACACTATGAAAAGTTAATTTTTTTATAGTCAAATCACATTTTTCTAAATTGAGAATAATTATTATTTGGTTGTATACAGTATACAGGGGGTTCACGCAGCTATTTATAATATTTTATTTACTATATTTTTTTTTGTACAACCAATTTGTAAAAAAATATTTTTCTAATGTATATATCAGTCAATTTGGAAACTTTTTTCTCTATAAACACTTTTTCTCTGTCACATAGAGTAGTTAAAAGTTAATAAGACCTACACTCTTTAACGCCCTGTATAACTGAGGTGTTTTATTGAAGCGCGAATATTAACATACCCTGTGTATTTATTTTACATTTTTAGTTTTACATATATTTTTTTATTTTAACTTTCAATAACACCAGTCGTTGATTATTATTCAAGACTATATATTATTAAAAGCCAGAGGGTTGTTTGGGGTCTTTTTGTAAGTTTTTTTCTTTTTTCTTTTTTTCAGATCGCAATCGAATGGGGACACACAATCGTAATTACCAAACTACACTTACTTTACCCATGCAGACGGCTCATGGAATGCTATCACGTGAAAATCCATCAATGCTCCCAGCTAGTAAGCGTGCGGTTTAATGTCTCTACTATCAGGCTCTAAAGACATGACCGCTGAGTTCGTGTTAGATTAACCCGTCGTTTTACCTAGTCTGGGTTCAATATCACAAGTGTCACTCTTTTTCTCTAACGCAAATAAAACTCTATAATAAATGTTTATAGACTTTTATCCATGAAAACAGAGATTTTCATCTCTACATTAATGTCACTTTAACAGAATCTTTCACATGAAGTATCTAATAAATGCCAGTACTTTTTAGTGCTAGTATTTTAATATAATAAACACGAGTACTTTTTAGTGCTCGTATTTTTCTCAAATCGATAGACACAAAAAAGCAGCGTTGCGGGGTGGTTGCGATGCAATCTGTAAGCTGTGGGGACTGCCGCGAGGGGCCAGTCTCGGAGGCCTGGGACTGTTTCGCCCTGGATTCGTTCGCATATTATTACAGCCCCGGTAACAGGCCGGGGTTCCCAGGTGCTCGTTGCGTTGTAGTCTGCCAGTGGGTATGATATTCGACCGCTCCATTACCGGGCGTAAGCTTATATCATGCTATGCAGGCTATCCCATGGGGCCGGGTTGTTGTCCTAAACGTAAAGGGTGTCTGGGGAGTGGGGCTCAGCTCAATTAGAGGACTAGGAGGCTTGTAAATGGGTGCAGTGGGTTGGGATCATCTGGCACTCTTGGACCGGAAAGGGCAGGTAAACGCTGGTCCTTGAGTGGTGGGAATGTGGCAGAAGACGTTACGTTAAATTGTCCGATCGGAACGTCATAAAACTATGTGGTTATTCTCAGCCTCCGATGTCGTACTAGCGCCTTGCTAGTTATAACCACCAATATATAAAGCTTTTACTAGTTAAAGACTTTATATTTTCACTTCTCCTCTTAAAACTGAAAAACGCAGGCATATAAACTTGTTTTCCGGGTTGCCTCGTTACTCGAAAATAAAAACAGTCGTCGAATGGTTTTTCTCGACGACACCGTCATCTTCTTAATCTGATTCTTTTTAAGCTGGGTCGCCCTGTAGCCCGGTGATTTTTGGTCTGGCCAGGGTTCCAAGGAACAAATGTCCTCAGGAATGGAGGATCAAGCTGGTATCGGAGGGTCGAGGCTTGGCCAAGATTCCGTAAAGGTTCGAATTGACTGGAACAACACCCACCGTGCCTTTGGGTCTCTCCGGTGTTTTGGTCTGTCCATTTAAACGGTTTGTGAAGGTTCTATTTCTTGGAGTTATGACCGGTTAAAACCTATTTTTTCTCAAACTTTAACGGCATATGTGCCAGGAAATCGGATCTTCAATAAACCACTCATTTTGCTAAGTATTATTGTAACAAAAATTCGTGTTTTTTATTTTTATCAAGTCTCGGTAGTGCTGAATGGGGAGTGCTAAGGTAATGGAGGTACACATATCTTTTCTTATTTTTCTGTTTAGTGCTAGTCTGGTCTCTAACGTTGAATCGAGAGTGCTAAGGCAATGGAGATTCCAAGTCTTTCATTGTTTTAGTGTTTTCTTTTTAGCGTTGTTTGGGATTAGGTTCGCACTAAAAATTCTAAAGAATATAATTTTTACTTTGTGTAATTTTAAACTAAATTTAATCACCCTATTCTAGTCTCTGTAATGTTGAATCGAGAGTGCTAAAGCAGTGGAGATTTCAAGTCTTTCACTGTTCTAGTGTTTTCTTTTTAACAATATTTGGGAATAGATTCTCGCTCATAATAATTGAGTTCACAGCCTTTCTTATTTTAGCGTTTCCTGTTTAGTGTTATTTGAGACTATATTCTTTCTAAATATGTAAAATGATACTATTCTAAACTCTGTAATGTTGAATCGAGGGTGCTACGACAATAGGGGTTTACAGCCTTTCTTGTTTTAGGTCTTCTTTCTGGCGTTAATGGGATTATAATAGATTCTCTCTCTTAAAAACTGAAATAAAAAACATCATTTTTGTTTAAAATAATCTTTTTTACATGGTCTCTTGTGAATGGATGATACTATTACGATTCGAAGAGTAACAGCCTTCTTGTTTTAGTATTCCCGTTCACGTATAAATTAAGTAAATTCACTCTGATTTAAACTGTTTTATTCTCTATATTTTTATACAATTTTATATCAAAAACTTATAATAATTTTTATTTAGTTTACTGGTCTTTGAGATGAATGAATTGATAATGCTAAAATAGGGCCGGTTCCAGTCTGGCGTTATTTTAGGGTTTTCTTTTCACTTCAAAAAATTTACCCTGCGATGGACAGCCAGCACTGAGGGGGAGGGACATACTTCTTGACGTCTAATCGGAATGGTGGGATGGGCCGTAGTCCAGCATATTCAGCCTAGTGTCAGTGTTAGTGAGGTAAGTCCGAACACACATCTGTCCATTTCTTTTTCATAAATCTAATTTAAAAATATTTCTATCTTTCCAGAACTATGATCGTGTACGCAGCGCGTGTTATTTGTGAATTTAGTCGGTCTGTGTTTTTAGATGTCCTGCTGCTAAAAAGTAATTCCAGGTTCTATCGATCCTGATGACGCGTTAAATGGGATTCCCCAGGGACCGTCCGTAGTTCCTGAGGAACCAGGGGCGTCCTTCTGCCCCCGCGGTGTGACGACACTGCTTCATACGCCGTGTGGCAGGAATCGCCGGTAAAAGGATGTGGAATGGAGGTGAGTTGAATTTATTTGGACTTTCTGGACTTGGGCACCTTTACTGATCTTCTTTTTATCCTTGTTTCAGTATGCAGATGAAGAGGAAATGTAGAAGAGCCATTTCTAAAGCATAATTATAACGGTCGTGTCGGTTCGTGGTTCTGGGGCTGTTCTAAGGCTTTTCACAGCATTTTAAGGCCACACTTTTTATCTTTGATTCGAATCATAATAATCCTTTGTATTTCTTGTCGTTTGTAAAAATCACAAGGAATAATATCTTTAATTTTTTTCTATGTGTCTATTTCTCAAAATAATTTAAACCCAATTTGGCTTTTACTCAGTTATGTTTAATTTATTATTGAAAAACATTTTTTCTGCTCAAAGTTTAATGAAATGTGTGCCAGGAAATCGGATCTTTAATTAACAATTTTCTTTTTTTTAAGTATTTATATAACAAACATTATTCTTTTATTTTTATCTATAGTCTCGGTAGTGTTAAATGGGGAGTGCTAAGGTAATTGGGGTTCACAGCCTTTCTTATTTTAGTGTTTTCTGTTTAGTGTTATTTGGGATTAGATTCTTTCTAAAAATCCCAAAGGATATCGTTTTTATTTTCTGTAATTTTAAACTAAATTTAATCACTCTATTCTAGTCTCTGTAATGTTGAATCGAGAGTGCTAAGGCAATGGAGATTCCAAGTCTTCCATTGTTTTAGTGTTCTCTTTTTAGTGGTATTTGGGATTAGATTCTTTACAAAAAATTCTAGAGGACATAATTTTTATTTTCTGTAATTTTAAACTAAATTTCAAACAATAATCACTCTATTCCAGTCTCGGTAATAGCCTTGTTTATATATTCTTAAAGTTGTTCAACCGACTAGACAAAATGTGCTGCCAACTGGAGGAGAAATCGTGAACCTTTCGGGGCGGAGTCAAAAATATCGATTATTTTCGTTATTTTCCTCAGAGTAATGTAATAATATAGCCCGGGTTTCTGCGAACTTTAATAGTCAGCTGATTAAGAAATTTAAACAAAAATTTTATTTTATTGTAAACTGTGGATTATTTTTGCCTGTTATATTTAAGAATTCTAAACCGTATTAACAAAGAAATTATTATTTCGATATGTTGGTACATTATTTATAATAATTTATGATAATGCTAATTGCTATTAATTAATATTTAAAAAAAGTTACATACCTATTTTAATTTGATTTAATGCAGGTTTATAAAAGAATCATTTCATTCTTAGATTATTTTATTCTAAATTGAGTGCTTTGCGAATTTTACGATATTTTTTTTTGAAAACATAAAACTTTTTACATTCTTGATGCCAACTAATTGGCATGGTATTATTGGTATAGAAATTAGCTAAGAAAAAAAAGAATTGGCTATAACTTGTAATTTTTCGAAAGAAACATATTACACCTACCTATATCGCTGAAAAGCTTAAAAAATTACGCTTTTTATGAAGTCATGGCCAACTATGGTTTCCATTTAAAAAAAACATAACGTTTGTGTCATATATGTCAAAAATGACAAGCTTTAGAAAAAAAAACAGAAAACAAACTCATTAGGTATGTGATTATCTACAACTTTTATGTGAAAACTTTTTGTCTAAAATACCGTATGATCGAATAAAAACGGCGTCAGTGATGGCTATGAAATGACGATCGATGATATTTCCCATATAATTTTACATATAAAATGACAGCGATCTTCATTTCATAGACATCGTTGACGCCGTTTTTATTCGATCATACGGTAGATTATAATGGAATTAGAGTCAAAAGTTTTAAAATAGCCAAAATTTGTTTTTTTCGAAATATCTAGTAAGCCTTGAACTTCTCCGAAAAATCCGAAAGGCGCATATTTATGACCCCACAAAACTGCAATTCTTTCCCCATTTAACCGACTCTCTATCTTCAGTCTCCAGTAGTTTCTGAGATATCCATAGAGAACATCGTAGGAAACTCACCCTGTGTAGTATTTAGAAACTAACTATTATTATTATTTAACTAGATTAATTTGATTAATAAGACTCGATTAATTTAATTTAAAATAAATTTGATCAGATTTTTTTTTCGTATATTCTACTAGCAGAAAACCAAAATTATATGATAATGCACTTTTCAACGAAGTTGAAGGAAGATATAGTGTACCCATCACAATACTTAATAGAATTACTACAATTAGAAGAAAAACAAAAAGAAAAAATACCCAAATACCTTCATCTAGTACTCATCTACAAAATAAACTAATATAATCTCTATAAAAACACTACACAACTACTTCTTGTATTCTAGACTGAAAAAATTATCAGACTTACTAATTAATCAAACAAAAAGAAAAAATAACTGAATTATACCTTCACCTACTACTTAACTACAAAATAATAAACTATAAAAACACTACTAAACTATTTGTGGTATTCTACACTAAACATTATAATTAAACTTAATAAAATTAATCTAATTTTACACCACAGCCACTACAAAGAAATAAGAACATTTTTTAAAACTAGAAGAAACAGAACTTCGATACGTGCGACCAGTATAATAGATCAAGCGGACAAAGAACATAAAATACTTTAAAAATGTGCATTCAGAAAGAAAAAATATTATTTTTTTATATATTTTCTCTGTTTTTATTGGTCGCTTCAAAATTCAGAGTAACAAAAAATATTTTTCTGTAGTAAAAGACCGTGAAATATACCCCGCCATCTGGTGCTTTACATCCATAAACGTCTTAGGTTGAGCTACTTTAAAAGTAATAGTTTTCTGTTTTTTTTTCTATCATCATTTTACTATTTCTTTAATTATTCCTTAATTGCATTTACATTTAAAAAAAGGTGTGAAGTATCATGTTTCTTAATAAACTTTTACGGTTATACCCTTTATACTAAAACCATTCTAAATATTTTTAATTTTATTCATGTTTAATATAAAACTTAAATTTGATCATTTTAAAATAATGCACTTTGCACATCATTAATAATTGTATTTTCGAGTAAAGTAAATTCTCGTTGAAAATAACATCAACTCATATTTTCCTCATTTATTATTATTCAATCTCTAGAATGCTCTATACAGATTTATCTCGTTAAAGACACCTTAAATCTTTCTTCTTACCTATAGTAGTAAATCTATAATTTTCGTGGCCTTGAGATGTCCGATGTGCAAGGTCTCAGTCGTAGTACCTTCTTCACTAACTGTTGCCTTAAGGTACTTTTGTCCTTAAGGCTGTTTCTGAGGAGGCACGACGATTGGTGCAGGTCTGGAACGAAAATTTTCTGGAAAAAGACAGTAGGATGGAGAGTATGGAACGAGATAAAATCAGGTATGTTATAAGATTTCTTTCTTTTTTTATTATTTTCAACTAACGTATTTTTTCTATTGTTTCAGGTTAGTGAGCGTATATTTTTTGTACAAATCGTGGGGAGTGCTTTGCAAAAAGCGTAAGTTTTTGATTAATTTTTTCCTGATTTATTTGGTTGTTCGTTTATTTTCCCGGAGATGGCGTGAGCGCGGTCCTGCAGGAGCTAAAGTCACCTGTGGGGCCCCTCACAGAAGCGAAGCAGAGTGTCGAGTCGACCTCTACCGGGGCTAAAGTCCCCTGTATGAGCGTCCTCACAGAAGCACGTTGGGTTGATTCCGCAGGGGCTAACGTCCTCTGTGGAGTCTCCTTACAGAAGCAAAGAACATGCTTTCCTCTCGAAAGCAGCAGAGGTCCATTGGGTTGTTATGTCTGTCGGTCTTTTTATTGGGTTGTTGTGTCTATCGGGTTTTCTTAAGAATTTATTTGATGTTCTTATAGCTCTGTTCATATTATCTGAGTCAAATTAAAATCTAGAGAATCTCTAACAGTTATTTTTATTTTCATAAATTAAACATATAGGTATAGGTAATTTTCTTTAACTTCTTAATTTTTTTAACTCACTTTTATTTAATTATTACTATTTTAGAGTAAACGCATGGCAATATCTAGCATTTCGATAACTAAATGTTTAATAGAAATAGTCTAAATTTTCTAAATTTATTTTTATATTTCCAATTCAAGTTCAGATATAATTCTAGGCCCCAGAAAAAAGGAACCAAGTTTTTTAAGTTGTGTAGTAGAGATTTTTATGCCTTTCTAGGTCACTATTAGTATTAGTATTTTCCGTAATTTTAAACTAAATTTAATAGAATAATCATCCTATTCTAGTCTCTGTAATGTTGAATTGAGGGTGCTAAGATAATGAGGATTCCAAGTCTTGTATTGTTTTAGTGTTTTCTTTTTAACTTTATTTGGGATTAGCTTTTCTCTGATTTAAACTATTTTAAAAAAAAACTGTATTAACTATAATAATTAATGTAAGAGTTTATTTTTTTTTTCTTTTTCTTAAACCTTTAGAATTATATCCATATATATATATATATATATATATATATATATATATATATATATATATATATATATATATATATATATATATATATATATATATATATATATATATTTTATATATATATATATATATTTTTTTTCCTTTCTTGGGTATGAGGTTTTTTTTATTAATTGAACATGGAAACTTTTTATTTTTATTATGCGACGTTTCGCCTCATCATGGTGGGCTTGCTCAGGCACTTTATTCTTGAAGCCGCAGCCGCCTTGCCACCAGTGTATATAGAAGAATGTGACCTTTAGAATTATATCCATATATATTTTTTTTCCTTTCTTGGGTATGAGGTTTTCTTCTATATAGACTGGTGGTAGCAAAGCGGCTGCACATTCTTCTATATAGACTGGTGGTAGCAAGGCGGCTGCGGCTTCAAGAATAAAGTGCCTGAGAAAGCCCACCATGATGAGGCGAAACGTCGCATAAAAAAATAAAAAGTTTCCATCTTCAATTAATAAAAAAACCTCATACCCAAGAAAGGAAAAAAATATATATGGATATAATAATTAATATCATTCTTCATATTATCTTAGTCAAATTGAAATCTAGAAAACGTCTAACAGATATTTTTATTTTCTTAAATTAAACGTGTAGGTGTAAGTAACTCTCTATAAATTCCTATTTTTTTAACTCATTTTCTTTTAATTATTACTACTTTAGAGTAAACGCATGCCAATATCTAAGCGTTTCAATAACTAAATTTTCAATACAAATAGTCTAAATATTTTAAACTTATTTTTGTATTTTCAATTCAAGTTCAGGTATGATTCTAGGGCCTAGAAAAAAGGAATCGAGTTTTTTAGTAGTGCAGTAGAAATTTTTAGGACTTTTTGAGGCCATCACTAGGTTCAAGTTTAAATTTTTGAGGTCTAAAACTTAACAGGGTCATATCTAAGTCTGGTTTATTTTCTTACAAGGGTAGGTCTCGGCGCTCTACAAAGACTGATAGGGCCTATATGAGCTTCCAGTTTGAGTCGACATCTTCAGATGATTTTTGTAGGGTTCTTGTGTCTTATAGGCTCGCGCTGGTTGAAGATATAGTTTGTTTGAAGCTGTATACAACAGGTCAGAATCATGTCGGAGCCACATTGAGGTCTACACAATCTCTATGTGTATGGTAATATTTTTTTTTGTTACTATTTTTTACAGGTGTTGGTATGAGCCTTAGAGGGAACCACAGCAGCCAGTTTGAGTCGATGCCTGCAGAATATTTTTGTGGGGTTCTTGTGTTTCATAGGTTCACATGGGTTGCAGTTCTACTACGTTTGTAGCAAGAATGGGAATATAATGATCCATAAGTACGAGGTTTCCCAGGCAAACTACTGCAGCCTACTTAGAAGATTATTGTATAGTTCTTCTTGTATCTTTTAGATTTACGTTGATTGAACATCTACTTTGTTTCAAGCTGTATGCAACAGGTTAGAGAGTCATGTCGAAGCCAAATTGGAGTCTACACAATTTCTATGTATATGATACTCTTTTGTTGCTCCTATTTTTTTAGAGCAGTAGTTCAAGATGCATGTCTTTGTATGAGTCTCCAAGGCACCACAGCAGGGTCATTTTGAGTAGATATGGTTAAGGTCATCTGAATGTCTTACATGTTCACATTGGTTCATGTTCAGTGTTTCATTTTTTCAGCTCCAAGCTCTTCAGGGACTAACGTTCTCTGTATGAGCTGCACTGTAGGTATTGTAGATTGGTTGTTGCATATCCTTTTTTTCAGTGCGCTATATGTGGAATTTTTGGGAGGGTAGTGTTGAGTGCTGTGAAGATATCAGACAGATTTTGAGTGTGAAAAAAATGTTGAGTGTAAAAAATATATAGTGATATATACTACAGATAAGACAGGGAGACGCGATATCCCCAAAGTTGTTTACAGCAACACTAGAAGAAATCTTCCGTCAACTGAATTGAACCAATTAAAGATTAAAAATAGACGATGAATTTCTTAACAATCTAAGATTCGCTGATGCCATAGTCCTAATTGCCAATAGTCCTGAAGAACTACAAGCCCAAATTAACGAACTTAATACAGCCAGTAATGCCAGTCTCAAAATTAAGCAAAAACTAAAGTAATGTACAACGAACTAGTAGACAGAAAAGACATTCTAATAAATAGCACAACACTAGAAAGAGTAGAAAATTAAATATATTTGGAACACGTAATACAGAGCTCGGGATTTCTACCACCAGAAATCAACAGAAGAATTAAGTTAGCATAGAGTACTCATGGGAGAAACTCATCATATTCAAATCCAGAATGCCACTTTATCTAAAGAGAAAAACATTCGACCAATGTGTACTACCAGTCATGACCTAGGCAGGCGAAACGAAATATGCTGGGAATAACCAAGAAAGACCATAAAAGAATAGAGTGGATACGGCAAAAGACCCTCAAAAGATACCTTGCAAGAAGGACGGACAACATATGGGCCAGAAAAAATACAGCATGGTAGATCCTATGTTTCTCTCTACAATTTCCTGTTTCACAATGTACCGTTTGTGTCCAGGAAGAGATCATAGTTTCATAGTTGTCGATTTTCCAAAGAAATCAGTACATGTATATTATTTCGTATATTTTTCATTTTATTGATTTTATGGAAAGCACTGTTCGTTAAAATGTTGTATCCTATGTTATAGGGCTTGTTTCTCTCTACAATTTCCTGTCTCACAATGTACCGTTTGTGTCCGGGAAGAGTTCATAGTTTCATAGTTGTCGATTTTCGAAAGAAATCAGTACATGTATATTATTTCGTATATTTTTCATTTTATTGATTTTATGGAAAGCACTGTTCGTTAAAATGTTGTATCCTATGTTATAGGGCTTGTTTCTCTCTACAATTTCCTGTCTCACAATGTACCGTTTGTGTCCGGGAAGGGTTCATAGTTTCATAGTTGTCGATTTTCGAAAGAAATCAGTACATGTATATTATTTCGTATATTTTTCATTTTATTGACTTTATGCAAGGCACTGTTCATTAAAAAGTTGTATCCTATGTTATAGGGCTTGTTTCTCTCTACAATTTCCTGTCTCACAATGTATCGTTTGTGTCCAGGAAGGGTTCATAGTTTCATAGATGTCGATTTTCGAAAGAAATCAGTACATGTATATTATTTCGTATATTTTTCATTTTATTGATTTTATGGAAAGCACTGTTCGTTAAAATGTTGTATCCTATGTTATAGGGCTTGTTTCTCTCTACAATTTCCTGTCTCACAATGTACCGTTTGTGTCCGGGAAGAGTTCATAGTTTCATAGTTGTCGATTTTCGAAAGAAATCAGTACATGTATATTATTTCGTATATTTTTCATTTTATTGATTTTATGGAAAGCACTGTTCGTTAAAATGTTGTATCCTATGTTATAGAGCTTGTTTCTCTATACAATTTCCTGTCTCACAATGTACCGTTTGTGTCCGGGAAGAGTTCATAGTTTCATAGTTGTCGATTTTCGAAAGAAATCAGTACATGTATATTATTTCGTATATTTTTCATTTTATTGATTTTATGGAAAGCACTGTTCATTATAATGTTGTATCCTATGTTATAGGGCTTGTTTCTCTCTACAATTTCCTGTCTCACAATGTACCGTTTGTGTCCGGGAAGGGTTCACAGATTCATAGTTGTCGATTTTCGAAAGAAATCAGTACATGTATATTATTTCGTATATTTTTAATTTTATTGATTTTATGGAAAGCACTGTTCATTAAAATGTTGTATCCTATGTTATAGGGCTTGTTTCTCTCTACAATTTCCTGTTTCACAATGTACCGTTTGTGTCTGGGAAGAGATCATAGTTTTATAGTTGTCGATTTTCCAAAGAAATCAGTACATGTAAATTATTTCGTATATTTTTCATTTTATTGATTTTATGGAAAGCACTGTTCATTAAAATGTTGTATCCTATGTTATAGGGCTTGTTTCTTCTTACAATTTCCTGCCTCACAATGTACCGTTTGTGTCCGGGAAGAGATCATAGTTTCATAGTTGTCGATTTTCCAAAGAAATCAGTACATGTATATTATTTTGTATATTTTTCATTTTATTGATATTATGGAAAGCACTGTTCATTAAAATGTTGTATCCTATGTTATAGGGCTTGTTTCTCTCTACAATTTCCTGTCTCACAATGTACCGTTTGTGTCCGGGAAGGGTTCATAGTTTCATAGTTGTCGATTTTCGAAAGAAATCAGTACATGTATATTATTTCGTATATTTTTCATTTTATTGATTTTACGTAAAGCACTGTTCATTAAAATGTTGTATCCTATGGTAACCACGAGGAATTAAGAGACCTAGAAGATCATGATATTATGAAATTAGCAGGGATAACTTGAGCTCGCATAGACAACAATGGGCCCAACTACAAAGAGATTATCTAAATATGTGAGGGAGGCTACACCATAGTGTTTGTTGAATAATCTGTTGATGATGACAACAGGTAAGAAAGTATCTTCTTACAGCTTCATAATTTTCTAGATTTTTAAATACCTATGTTTTTTTTTATTTTTTTAGATAAAATCGTCTGCATCGAAACGAAGTGTACAAATAAAATATATTGGATGTCTAAGAAAGAAATTTTATGAAAAAAAAAACGTATAAATATGTGGCAAATTTGTGAGTTATTTTGGTAAACAATAATATTTATTATTATAAGACAAAATTGTAGTTTATAATTTTATTTGTATTTGTATAGTCATTATATCAAAACTAATACTTTTTTCTTTTTTGTATCAAACTTCTAGGGAATATTTATCGAAAATCTGAATCCAATTATATATTCCTTCACCATAAAATCAAGAAAATCTTGGTAAATGGAAAAAAGAAATACTTATATGAGCATGGAGAGGAGCAGAAGATATAATTTTAAGATATTACTAGCAGCTGCCAAATTCTTTTGATTTTTGAAACAGCTACTGGCTACGGTGAGAACAACAATAATTACTTTATATTATTTTTAACCTCTTATTGTTACCTTTTCTTGAGATTTTATATGAGTATATTATTAAACTCTTCAAAAAACTAATGTTTATTTAATATTTCAAGTTAAAACTATGTTGGATGTTCCTTCTTGCAAGAATTTGAAGATGGGAGGCAGTTGTGAAGCGATGGACTTACAAAAAATAGGTAAGCATTTCGTTAACTTATCTTGTGTCTCCTAAACTCTCCCTGGTTTCTCTAATATATTATTTATTGATATTTTTCTTTTCATTTTAGATTATATTTTTTTCGGAAATGTACATTAAAACAAGGAAAAATCAAAGATACAGAGTTGATAATGGACGACACAAAGGTAACATGCTATTGTAAAGTCTGGTATCACAGGAAATACACAGTAGGTTGTGACACCCTAAGCACTATAATTATTTTAATAGATCATGTGTGTACAGAGCAATAAATTTATATTTTATGTCGAAATAACGGAATCATATATTCGCTTTTATTATCTAATTATTATGTATAACTTTATATTTAACATTTTTTTGTAAACATCGAAACAAATGAGATAATGGACTTTACTCTATCGTTGACTCACCCTGTACTTGGTATAATGATATATATATATATATATATATATATATATATATATATATATATATATATATATATATATATATATATATATAATATTGGTATATTTATGATTATTCTTTTCTTAATTTACTGTAATTTCCTGATTCCTGTAAATAATTCCCTTGTTTATATAAAGGGTAATGCCAAAATAAAATCTTGACAATATGGTGAAAGTTGAATTTTGAGCGTATTGATATTTTTTATAATATTTTTTATGTTTTAAAACTACATTATTATTATTATTACGCTTTGTGGTGTGGAAAATAACTGTTAATATATCTTAATTATATAATACATCATATATTTTTATATTTTATGCTAAGAAAATCACATAAATTAGGTGAAAGGATATAAAAATCTTAAGGTAGCAGAAAAAATAATGCAATATGTATAAGCAGAATTAAACAAGGTAACTAAAATATTAATGTTGCTGATTCTACAATTTTAATGGAATGTTATAAAACTTAGTTTAAACATGATATGGAGCTACAGCATTTAAAAATTCCAAAAAAAAGAAGAAACTTGGACACACCTCTTTTAATTTTCCGAATTTTTAATAAAGCACTTTTCAAACGTAGCGTCAATCTAGAGTTTTATTTCTGTTTAATTAAAATAATAATATAATATTGTAAATAATATATACTAATAGCACTGAAAAAAACATAAAATTTGTTTTTTTACTGAAAATAATTCCAAAATAACTTGCAATCTGGCAACATCGACGATTTGCGCATGCGTAATATCTGTGACCTGTGACTATTTGCAGCAAATAATTCCTGGGAATAATTCCGTGATAATTCCTTTAAGGTCAGCCACCGAACCCACACCGTTATCTATTTATCGAATTATAACAAATCAACATCTAAATTTTATACAAATAATCTATTAAATCGAATTTTAATTGTTTTTCTTCTAAGCCTACTTTAAATGACTATTCTGTCTCGCTCTAACACATGCGCTCGTGATGCGCTCAAGAACATGCTCAAAACACGTGCATTTTTTATTGATACCGAAATTTTTCCATTTTGAAATCAGTTTGAAATGAATGAGGAAACGTTTTTTTAGTATTATAAACGTATTACAAGTGAGAATTGAGAATGCTGCTGTTAAGAATATACCAGAAATGGTTAAATAAGCATTTTTTGGTGGTTCAATCCGTTCAAACTGGGGCCCTTATGGCTGCAGGGGATGCCATAGCTCAGTTAGCGATAGAAAAGAAAAAATTACCTGAATTTGATCTATCTCGAACGGCCAAATTCGGATTTTTGGGCACTTGTTTTGTTGTAAGTTTGTTTTTTGCAAAAACATAATTTTTGTGTGGGTGCAGTGATACCAACCAACTATTGTTTAATAATAATAAACTATAGAGGATGGTTTTTAAATAATATGCGAGCATTATAAACTTCTGTTGCTTTTTCAGGGACCTACACTAACAGTATGGTACCGATTGCTTGCCAAACAATTTGGGACTTCTTCGTCAACTTCAACAGCTCTCAAAAAAATGGCTTGTGATCAACTAATATTTGCACCAACATTCCTCTCCATTTTCATAGCAAACGTGAATTTCCTAAGCGGGAAATCTGTGCAGGACATTAAACAAGAACTTTCTAGAACGTATCTGGATATTTTAATAGTTAATTGGAAAGTGTGGCCAGCAGTTCAGTTAGTGAATTTCTATTGTGTGCCTCTAAATTATCAAGTATTACTAGTACAGGGTGTTGCTTTGTTCTGGAACACGTATCTATCATGGAAAACACAGAAGAAGGTGGACTAAAATTTTCCAGAATTATTTTTGACACTGTTACCTCAATATTTCAATGCTTTATGTCCTATTTTTAGCTTTAATTTAAGTGCAAACCAGCCTGTTATGATGAGATATTATTTTTGAATGTTTTCTATTTCTATTTTTCTTTTTTTATACATTTACTCGCCTGTTCATAGCATCAAATTGTATTCAGATTTCAAATTACGTGTAATATTTGGTCTCTAAGTCCTTAATACGTTATACATAAACATTTAATACATTGTTTTTAATGTATTTATTAAAATATGTATGATATGTTATTATGTGTATGATATGTTATCTAAGTATTATATAAATCAAAAATCACATTAAGTTTTTTAATTTTTGAATTCCCACTCTTTTTCTTTTCACAGTTGGCAGCAGTGCTAAATGACATTTCATTAGGAATGGCAAAGTTGTATCGATATAGTTTTATAATCATATATAAAAATAAAATATCGATATTAATATAATTCAATATATCGATACGTTGTTACCCTCCCTACATCATATAATTTTTTTTGATTATTTTGACAGCTAACCTCACAATTCTAACAAAAATAGCTACAGTTTACAAATAATCCATTTCTTTCGTATTTATTCTTGTAAATGAGTAATACGAATCAAACAAAAGAAACGATGGAGGTGGAATCCATGGACACATCAACTTCGGCCGCTGCAGATCCTAAACAATCCATGGATACCAGCGAAACTGGAAAAAATGTTATGGCTGTAGGAGCCACGGGATCCGTAACTTGCTCTTTACATCCTCTAGTTATAATGAACGTATCGGAACATTGGACAAGAACTAGGGCTCAATCTGATGGCCAAGCTCCAGCAGGTATTTGCCAGATTAAATCCAATCTTCATTTAGTTTCTGTTACAGGATTTTCAACATTTTTTGTACCCCAAACATAACAATATGTTATTTTACAGTATTTGGAGCACTTATTGGTAAACAAAAAGGCAGGAACATCGAAATTATGAACTCTTTTGAGCTGGTATTTAGCATTATTGGTGAAGATGTCGTGATTGATCGAGACTACTACAACATGAAAGAAGAACAGTGTATGTTTTTATTCCTACATAACAGATAATAGTAATAGAACGGTATTTTTTTTATAGTTAAGCAAGTATTTAGTGACATGGACTTCATAGGCTGGTACACAACCGGTGATGCACCGAATAATTCTGATATAAAAGTCCACAAGCAAATATGTGAAATAAATGAGTCTCCTATATTGCTTAAACTCAATCCATACGACAAAAATATAGATGTAAGTGAAACTATCCATTTATTTATTAAGTTTTTAGTTTGGTTTAAATATTTTTTTAGCATTTGCCTGTATCTCTGTATGAATCTGTGATAGATTTAGTGAACGGCGAAGCCACAGTTTTATTTGTTACGCTCACCTACACTTTGGCAACCGAAGAAGCTGAAAGAATTGGTGTTGATCATGTAGCAAGGATGTCCTCAACTGATTCTGGTGAAAGTTCACTGGTTGCTGAGCATTTAACCGCCCAGCATAGTGCAATAAAAATGTTACATTCTAGAGTATGTTAAAAATTACAGTTGGAAAAAAAAATGTGAGAATATAATTATTTTTTAGGTACGTTTAGTGTTAGAGTACATGAAAGCAGTACAGAATGGGGACTTACCAAGAAATAATGAAATACTCAGAGAAGCTTATTCATTGTGTCATAGATTGCCTGTGGTGCAAGGACCGAGATTTAGACAAGACTTCTATAATGTAAGTAGATAATAATAATAACTTACTTTTTTAGGGATGAGTGTGTAAAAAAGAAATTTTTTTCTAGCAATGTAACGATGTGGGACTGATGACGTATTTGGGAGCCCTAACAAAGAGTTGCAACGATTTGAACCAGTTTGTTAATAAATTTAACGTGCTCTACGAAAGGCAAGGTTTAGGTAGAAGAATGAGAGGTATTTTCTTTTAGATTGTAGTGTTTTTTTCCTGAAATAATTTATGTATTGATATATTTTTCGTCCTGTAATTACTGCTATGATTTCACAAAAAAAATGTATAAAAAATAAACCATTTTTATTTGGAACATTTTTGTTGTCTTTTAAATAATTACATACCTTTTTTATGCAAAATCCGGCAACACCGCATAAAAGAAATGCATGAACCCAACTTTTATCTCTTTTTAATACATTTGATTTTCCATTAAGCTGTCATCACCGTTTTACACGTTAAAATCCAAACCACACAGTTTTGATGCCCAGAGGGGTATAAAATATCTGTTTTTATTTTAGGAAAAATTAACGTTTTATTTTTTGACCATACGGTATATGTGTGTAATATTAACGTTCTATACAGGGTGGTCTAGTTATTGAGGACGTGTTACTTGGGAAGTATTAATAATAGCAATATTTCTAAATTATCTATTAACGCTCTTCTTAGGTTTTTGGTAAAATAAAACACGAATTTTATTTTTAAATATGTTTTTACTTAATATGGTGTAAACAATCCTTTACAAATCTTATTTTATACAAATGGAAGACTATTATAAATATAAAGCCAACGTTTTCTGTGATATTTGGCATCGATTAATTTTATTTTTTTACATGAGCGTCTTCGTTTTGTACTCTTGAGTACCATCTTAACACTGACAAAATAAAGCATTATTTTGTTTATATACTTTACAATATGTATAGGTATCTAAAATATATCATTCGTTTATTTTGTTACATTTTTTTCGTTGTTTTGGAAATAATATCGCTATGATGACACGTTCCTCTCGGCACAGATCAGTTCTTCGAACAAGGTTCCTTGCCTCTCAACACGTGGTTCGAGTACTTCAAAGTGGCTTCCGCCAAATCCTTGACAGTCCATTTCCTGTCGATCAAAATGCGACACACGGTTTCCAGTTTGGCCAACTGCTGGTACTTGTACGTGTAGTAGATCAGAGATGGCGCCCCTGCTACGCTAGCCGCCATCCACTGTATAACCACCTTAAGCTGTCGACATCACCGTTTTACACGTTAAAATCCAAACCACTCAGTTTTGATGACCAGATCGGTATAAAATATCTGTTTTCATTTATAGGAAAAATTAACGCTTTATTTTTTGACCATACGGTATATGTGTGCAATGCGTTCTATACAGGGTGGTCTAGTATTGACGACCTGTAACTCGCCGAGTACTAATAATAGAAATAGTAATATTTCTAAAGTATCTATTAACGCTCTTCTTAGGTTTTTGGTAAAATAAAACACGAATTTTATTTTTAAATACTTTTTTACTTAATATGGTGTAAACAATCCTTTATAAATCTTATTTTATACAAATGGAAGACTATTATAAATATAAAGTCAACGTTTTCTGTGATATTTGGCATCAATTAATTTTATTTTTTACATGAGCATCTTCATTTTGTACTCTTGAGTACCATCTTAACACTGACAAAATAAAGCATTATTTGTTTATATATAATTTACAACAATATGTATAGGTATCTAAAATATATCATTCGTTTATCTTGTTACATTTTTTTCGTTGTTTTGGAAATAATATCGCTATGATGACACGTTCCTCTCGGCACAGATCAGTTCTTCGAACAAGATACCACTCAATTCCTTACCTCTCAACACGTGGTTCGAGTACTTCAAAGTGGCTTCCGCCAAATCCTTGACAGTCCATTTCCTGTCGATCAAAATGCGACACACGGTGTCCAGTTTGGCCAACTGCTGGTGCTTGTACATGTAGTAGATTAGAGATAGCGCCCCTGCTACGCTAGCCGTCATCCACTGTATAACCACCTTAAGCTGTCGACATCACCGTTTTACACGTTAAAATCCAAACCACACAGTTTTGATGACCAGAGGGGTATAAAATATCTGTTTTTCATTTATAGGAAAAATTACCGCTTTATTTTTTGACCATACGGTATATGTGTGCAATGCGTTCTATACAGGGTGGTCTAGTTATTGAGGACCTGTAACTCGCGAAGTATTAATAATAGAAATAGCAATATTTCTAAAGTATCTATTAACGTTTTTCATAGGTTTTTGGTAAAATAAAACACGAATTTTATTTTTTAAATACTTTTTACTTAATATGGTGTAAACAATCCTTTATAAATCTTATTTTATACAAATGGAAGACTATTATAAATATAAAGTCAACGTTTTCTGTGATATTTGGCATCAATTAATTTTATTTTTACATGAGCGTCTTCGTTTTGTACTCTTGAGTACCATCTTAACACTGACAAAATAAAGCATTATTTGTTTATATATAATTTACAACAATATGTATAGGTATCTAAAATATATCATTCGTTTATCTTGTTACATTTTTTCGTTGTTTTGGAAATAATATCGCTATGATGACACGTTCCTCTCGGCACAGATCAGTTCTTCGAACAAGATACCACTCAATTCCTTACCTCTCAACACGTGGTTCGAGTAATTTCAAAGTGGCTTCCGCCAAATCCCTTGACAGTCCATTTCCTGTCGATCAAAATGCGACACACGGTGTCCAGTTTGGCCAACTGCTGGTGCTTGTACATGTAGTAGATTAGAGATGGCGCCCCTGCTACGCTAGCCGTCATCCACTGTATAACCACCTTAAGCTATCGACATCACCGTTTTACACGTTAAAATCCAAACCACACAGTTTTGATGACCAGAGGGGTATAAAATATCTGTTTTCATTTATAGGAAAAATTACCGCTTTATTTTTTGACCATACGGTATATGTGTGCAATGCGTTCTATACAGGGTGGTCTAGTATTGACGACCTGTAACTCGCCGAGTACTAATAATAGAAATAGTAATATTTCTAAAGTATCTATTAACGCTCTTCTTAGGTTTTTGGTAAAATAAAACACGAATTTTATTTTTAAATACTTTTTACTTAATATGGTGTAAACAATCCTTTATAAATCTTATTTTATACAAATGGAAGACTATTATAAATATAAAGTCAACGTTTTCTGTGATATTTGGCATCAATTAATTTTATTTTTACATGAGCATCTTCATTTTGTACTCTTGAGTACCATCTTAACACTGACAAAATAAAGCATTATTTGTTTATATATAATTTACAACAATATGTATAGGTATCTAAAATATATCATTCGTTTATCTTGTTACATTTTTTCGTTGTTTTGGAAATAATATCGCTATGATGACACGTTCCTCTCGGCACAGATCAGTTCTTCGAACAAGATACCACTCAATTCCTTACCTCTCAACACGTGGTTCGAGTACTTCAAAGTGGCTTCCGCCAAATCCTTGACAGTCCATTTCCTGTCGATCAAAATGCGACACACGGTGTCCAGTTTGGCCAACTGCTGGTGCTTGTACATGTAGTAGATTAGAGATAGCGCCCCTGCTACGCTAGCCGTCATCCACTGTATAACCACCTTAAGCTGTCGACATCACCGTTTTACACGTTAAAATCCAAACCACACAGTTTTGATGACCAGAGGGGTATAAAATATCTGTTTTCATTTATAGGAAAAATTACCGCTTTATTTTTTGACCATACGGTATATGTGTGCAATGCGTTCTATACAGGGTGGTCTAGTTATTGAGGACCTGTAACTCGCGAAGTATTAATAATAGAAATAGCAATATTTCTAAAGTATCTATTAACGTTTTTCATAGGTTTTTGGTAAAATAAAACACGAATTTTATTTTTAAATACTTTTTTACTTAATATGGTGTAAACAATCCTTTATAAATCTTATTTTATACAAATGGAAGACTATTATAAATATAAAGTCAACGTTTTCTGTGATATTTGGCATCAATTAATTTTATTTTTTACATGAGCGTCTTCGTTTTGTACTCTTGAGTACCATCTTAACACTGACAAAATAAAGCATTATTTGTTTATATATAATTTACAACAATATGTATAGGTATCTAAAATATATCATTCGTTTATCTTGTTACATTTTTTTCGTTGTTTTGGAAATAATATCGCTATGATGACACGTTCCTCTCGGCACAGATCAGTTCTTCGAACAAGATACCACTCAATTCCTTACCTCTCAACACGTGGTTCGAGTACTTCAAAGTGGCTTCCGCCAAATCCTTGACAGTCCATTTCCTGTCGATCAAAATGCGACACACGGTGTCCAGTTTGGCCAACTGCTGGTGCTTGTACATGTAGTAGATTAGAGATGGCGCCCCTGCTACGCTAGCCGTCATCCACTGTATAACCACCTTAAGCTATCGACATCACCGTTTTACACGTTAAAATCCAAACCACACAGTTTTGATGACCAGAGGGGTATAAAATATCTGTTTTCATTTATAGGAAAAATTACCGCTTTATTTTTTGACCATACGGTATATGTGTGCAATGCGTTCTATACAGGGTGGTCTAGTTATTGAGGACCTGTAACTCGCGAAGTATTAATAATAGAAATAGCAATATTTCTAAAGTATCTATTAACGTTTTTCATAGGTTTTTGGTAAAATAAAACATGAATTTTATTTTTAAATACTTTTTTACTTAATATGGTGTAAACAATCCTTTACAAATCTTATTTTATACAAATGGAAGACTATTATAAATATAAAGTCGACGTTTTCTGTGATATTTGGCATCAATTAATTTTATTTTTTACATGAGCATCTTCATTTTGTACTCTGAGTACCATCTTAACACTGACAAAATAAAGCATTATTTTTTATATACTTTACAACAATATGTATGGGTATCTAAAATATATCATTCGTTTATCTTGTTACATTTTTTTCGTTGTTTTGGAATTAATATCGCTATGATGACACGTTCCTCTCGGCACAGATCAGTTCTTCGAACAAGGTACCACTCAATTCCTTCCCTCTTAAAACGTGATTCGAGTATTTCAAAGTGGCTTCCGCCAAATCCTTGACAGTCCATTTCCTGTCGATCAAAATGCGACACACGGTGTCCAGTTTGGCCAACTGCTGGTGCTTGTACGTGTAGTAGATTAGAGATGGCGCCCCCGCAACGCTAGCCGCCATCCACTGTATAACCACCTTAAGCTGGACGTCGCCTTTGCGGGAAGTACCGCAGCCCCAGTTGCCCGTCGTGATGGCTCTCGTACCGTTTTTTGGCTTCTCTGATATGTCTGACACCTAGAATTAACATAAATATTGTTTAAAATAGTTATGAATCGAGTATAAGGCTTGATTAATTAAAATGTCACGAATTATGCAACTACCAATACACTGTACCGAGTGTTTTATGCTAAGCAACGTTTTGTTACATAAAATTTAATACAGGGTGGTCCGAACTGTATTCTGGAAACTTCGGCAGCATATTCTGCAGAAAAAAATTAGTAAAAAAGTTCGTATAAATACATGTCCTAAAATGCTTAGTTTCGGATATACAGAGTGTAGAAGTTAATTTTTATTTCGATTTTTTCCAAATAATTTATGAAATAACGTCAATATTTGGCTGAAAATTAGTGTCTGGGAGTTTTTTGACACGAGAAATTTGATTTTGATGTCACTAGGACTCCCACTTGTAGAGGGCGCCACCTATATATTTTTTAACTGGTTTTGAAGAGTAATAACTTTTCGTCCGTACCTGTATTAAAGTAATGAGTAAAAAAATATACATTTACGACGTTTTTTATGTAAAAAAAGTTTCTTGGTAAAAATCGTTACGAGTGATGGTTCTCGAGATATTTAGAATCGAAATTATCAATACCTGTCATCATTGACATAAATTAAACATGTTGACTCTTTAGGAAGGAGCATAATGCTATCCATATATTCATGCATGGTGGGCGGAAAAAGGACTCTAGGGTGGGGATCCTTGACAGTTCTGTTTGACGATTCATTTGACACATTTGAATTTGATTTGAAATTTTGTGGATTTGTCAGTCTTTACGGAGCTTATTTTATGTTATTTATTATTTATTCTACTACTGATAGTTGTATAAAGGTAGTAAATCTAGATCTAGATGGAAATTGTGGCAGAACTTAAATTAACAGTGATACTATCGCGATTTATCGAAAAAGACTCTAAAATAGTTGGTTGTGTAGCGTGCGGTAGATCTCGGAAAAAATTGAAGTGAGTGAAATAATGGAACAACTTTTCGCTAGTAAGTGACTATATAATATGCCATACGTGTAGTAAACCGATCATTTATGAAATTCACTTAAATTAACTAATTATATATTTTTTCTTGCATTTTTGCTTTTATTTACTACTTGTCAAAGATCAGATGTCAAAGAATTTAGATACGTCAATTTGACTTACCTGCTTCAGTAGCGTATCGGATGTCTGTGTTAATAAATAATTATTAAAACTTATCTATTTTTATTATAATAATATGTTTTATAACAATTTTAATCACTATCAACATTTGTTCACAACGTAAAATAAAAATAAAATTATTGAGTCTACCCCATGTCTACCCTACATCATAGTTTTACATTTTTTAATTAAAATTAGAACGGCACTGATAAACCGGAATTTAAGTCGGCCATATTTGAGTCCCATCGCGGTGGACCTAAGATTTTTGATATGATCCTTCCTTAGTCTTCTTTTTTTCGTCATAAATTTGAAATGCTTTTGTGCCGAAAGTTCAACGGAAACTGTCTTATCATAATTTTTTCGAAGAAAAATTTAGGATTAATTTAAAAAATAAAAAGTTCTCAAATTTATCATTTCAGTCAAATAACTATATCTACTCAACTTGTTTATTTTTTGTCAATGATGACATATATCGACTATTTCCATTCTAAATATCTTGAGAACGGTTGCTCGTAGCGATTTTTACCATGAGACAATTTTTACGTAAAAAATCACAGAAATGTATATTTTTTCACTCATTAGTTTTATACAAGTACGGACGAAAAGTTATTACTCTTCAAAACAGTTAAAACACATGTAAGTGGCACCCCCTACAAATAGGAGTCATATTGATATTAAAATCAAATTTCTCATGTCAAAAAACTCCCAGACACCAATTTTCAAACAAATATTGACGTTAATTCAGAAATTATTCGGAAAAAATCGAAATAATGAAACTTCTACACCCTGTAGCTCCGAAACTAAGCATCTTAGGACATACATTTATACGAACTTTTTTACTTATTTTTATCTGTAGAATATGCTACTGAAGTTTCCGGAATAATGTTCGGACCACCCTATACAGGGTGATTCAGATTTTACTAGAATAACTTCAGGTATCTCGATAGAACTAAGAAAGAATGATAGTTTGTATTATAAACCATACTCCAAAAACGCTTCCGCTTGGAGTAAAATGGAGCCGAAATTTGAATTAAGTTCTCCAAGGCATGCTGCTAATTAAGTAACTTTTTTCGAACGCAGTTGAGCTATGTCCGGGATTTTGTGGAATATCTCGAAAACTAAGCGACATATCAAAAAAATTTAAGAACAAGAAAAGTTAGTAAAAAGACGGATGGTATCAGAAAAAAATACAAATTTATCCAGTGGCGTGCGACAAAAAAGTTCTACAAGGTTCCGTGCAGTTGACACTCACAAAAACAACACCTTGTATAGCAATTAATCCAATTTTTTTCACACATCAGCCACGTTGCCCTTAGCATTTAACCAAACACTTGCGTATTTAGATCATCTGGCTTACGAGTAATAAAATAAAAACCGAAAAATAATTCAAATTTTGGCGCCATTTTACTCCAAGCGGAAGCGTTTTTGGAGTATGGTTTATAATACAGTACGTCTGCTGGATCTGTGTCTATGAAAGGAATGCGGACAAAAAACATTTAAATAAACAGCAATATATTTTATACGTCGACTTGACGAGTACGTCATCGCAAATCGCTCCGCCCACTCACTTTATTGGCTACTTGCAAATTTGTCAAATTTTTATTGATGAGACGCGTCGTCTAATTTTTTAAGAAAAACATCGAGAGAATATCGTTTCCCCTCTCACGGATACCCCGTAGCTACAGAACGGACAGACGTACTGTACAAACTATCATTATTTCGGTTAGTTCTATCGATACCTGAAGTTATTCTAGTAAAATCTGAATCACCCTGTATATATAGTATATTTCACAATTTTTGAATGAAGCTTTAAGGCTGAAATATAAACAAATAGAGAAAGCATTATTAAGACTAGGTGTAGTATTGGTTGCATACCTTGTGCTATCATTATCCGGTTTATTAGTTTAAACTATCAGCTTTTACTGCAATTATGAAAATGAAGGAAAATCTAGTAACAGTTTAAGCAAAATTAGAGCATAATCAGTGGTTTTTGGTTCTTGTATCTGCCACTTTTTTTAATTATTGTTAGTTCGACATTGAATAGACGTTTACATTATGATAACTATACAATATACAGGGTATCCCAGAAATAAGTGCAAGTATTTTAACTGGTAGTATAGTTCAACCCCAGAAACACGCTATGAGGTTTTTTTCGCGAAAAATGTTTTTGAAAATTCGAAATTTTTTGAAAAATTTTTTGGATTTTTTTTAGTTCTTAGTTAAAAAACATAATCTTATGATAATATGACAACATATAGTACGAGAGCTAGCAACGTCGGAAAAACAAGCATTTTAAGACGTCTTGCTCTTTGATATATCTTTTACTATACCCTCTAGAACAGCATGCGGCCCGTCTGGCTGCCTGTAAACGTTGCGTTCCCTACTGCGCATTGAAATAAGATCCTATATTTTTATTAGTCCTTTAAATTCTAGTATTGAATGTAGATCGAACATGTCTCCATAGCGCGGTGCGGTGCGTAGAGTTTCCGACCACGAACCGATGATTCAGAGTTCGAATCCGGATCAAGGCAAAGAATAATTAAATTAAATTAAATATTTGTTTTTTTTTGAATCACCAGAATTATTTTATACTTTACTATCAGAATATAAACGAAAATAAAATAAAAGTCTTTGCCCTGACCCGGATTCAAACTCTGAATCATCGATTCGTGGTCGGAAACTCTACGCACTGCGCTATGGAGACATGTTCGATTTATATTCAATACTAGAATTTATAGGACTAAATTAATAAAAAATATAGGATCTTCTTCCGATGCGCAGTAGTGAACGCAACGGGTATCGGCAACCAGACGGGCTGCATGCTGTTCCAGAGAGCATAGTAAAAGATATATATCAAAGAGCCAGACGTCTTAAAATACATTCTCGAAAACGTTGCTAGCTCTTAGACTAATAGGTAGTAAATTAAATTTACAAGAAAGAAAATTCAGGAAAGATCCAGTGGTTCTCAAAATTTTAGCAAAAAATCATTTTTTTTGGAAATTTTCAAAGTAAAATAACTCCATTATTTTGGACTTATTTGAAAAACGATAAAGAGAAAATATGTTTCTTTTATCGAGATCTACCACCCCTTAAGATACTTGCATTTATTTCTGGGACACCCTATATAACACTCACAGACAAACTGACCGTATCATATCTATATCGTCTATTTTAGTAAAGCAATTTGGTATGGTTAGTGCCAAATCTTTACCTTCGACTGTTCAACGGGCAGATACACGGTATAGTTAATATCTTCTAGAGTTTGTATTATGGCCTCGGTTACGCAAGACACGAACCACATCTTATTTCGATTGTTATGCGTTTGTGTTAGAGAGCTTTGGCCTAGTAAAGCAGAGGATTCGGTCTTCTGAGCACGGGTGCCACACTCTAAACTCTAACAAAAACACAACAAAAGTTATGGTATAAGTTGCAGCAATATTAACACTATTAAAATGAAAAAATAATATTTAATATTAGTTTTGAAATACCCTATATATATATATATAATATATATATATATATATATATATATTAGTTTTGAAATACCCTATATATATATATATATAATATATATATATATATATATATATATATATATATATATATATATATATATATATGTAAACAAAAATGTAAAGGCTTGACGAGTGTTTTATTAACTTTATTTTGCAAATTTTACAAATAAGTATTACTAATCGACTCAATTTCAACTATTTTTTTGTTATTTACTATAAAAAATCAAAAGCATATCTAACTTGAAACGATTAAAAACAAATATACAGGGTCCTCCGAACTGTATTCCGGAAACTTCGGCTGCATATTAAAAGTTGTACCAAAAGTTCAACAGAAACTGTTTTATCATCATACATACATTTATACGAACTTTTTTACATATTTTTATATGCAGAATATGCTGCCGAAATTTCCGGAATACAGTTCGGACCACCCTGTAGAAATCATCTATTGCTTTAACCAATCAATTATGATCCAGTGCCGTGTTAATACAGCTTTTAAACTGAATTTCTGAGAGTCTGACTTGATTGGTTAAAGCACTTGATGCTTGAATTAAACAGAAATACTTACTAGTTGAGCAGCAAGTTTGTGTTTTTGCCTAGCCAATTCCAAGCTTAAAGATTTGGCATTGAGAACCAGTTTATGTTTAGAATTTGTGAAATTCGTTCTATTCTCAGAAGAAGAGTCACAATTCTCAGTCAGTGGTACCGGAATACCTAAAAAAATTAAAAAATTTGTATTAAAGAAAATAAAAAAAAACTAAACAAAATAAAATCGTGGCAAAAGAGTATCTTTTAAGGTTGTAGAGTAAAAAAGATTGTAAATATCACTCACCAGCAAAAGACTCACTGAGTGTTCTTTTAAGTAAGGACCCAGCAAATCTCACAACTGCCAAATCTCGTCCATCTAAATCCTTTTTTGTGCCTTTTTCCGTCTCAATTATGGGGTTCTCTAACCAGTGATTGAACTGTTCATAGACTTCTTCCAATTCCGAGCTGTTAAAATAGATATTCTTCGTTCTGTTTTTTGTATAAATGAGACATTATTTTTACCTGTAATCTGTGCTAAAGCTATAATCAGACGACCTGTTGGATTCTTTTTTACTCAGAGCTGATGATTGTTTGTTTTTAAATTTATCAATCCATGCTCTTTCCTTGTTGAGCGAATTTTGTAGAAAATCTTCGTCTAGGCTTTCTTCTCTCAATGCGAATCCTGTAGATCCACCCCGTTTTACTCTAAAAAGAACACAAAATCTTCAAAAATTCAAAAACCTTCAAAATTTGTTTCTAATTTGCTATTTATAATTTCACGACTTTTTTAGTACAGGGTGGTCCGAACTGTATTCCGGAAGCTTTGGCGGCATATTGTGCAGATAAAAATAAGTAAAAAAGATTTTATAAATATATGTCCGAAAACGGTTAGCTTCGGAGATACAGGGTGCAGAAATTTCATATTTATTTCGATTTTTTCCGAATAATTTCTGAAGTAACGTCAATATTTAGATGAAAATTTCACACCTGTAATTTTTAACCAATCAAAACGTGTTTTTTGACAAATTACCATGGCAACGGATAAATTTTAGTGAAAATTTTTTCCTTGTGGGCACCCAACAGCGAATTATACTAAAAAATTTTTGACGTTTATAATGACAGAATATCTTTTTGAAAGTCTGGTTTTTATTTATTTACATGATAATTTTGATACATTTCAATTACAAAGCTGAGATGAAAGTTTGTAAACTGCTTTCTTTTTTTTTGTTTTGAAGAGTAATAACTTTTTGTTTGTATCTGTATAAAACTACTGGATGAAAAAATATACATTTCCGTGATTTTTTACGTAAAAAATGTCTCTTGGTAAAAATCGCTACGAGCAACCGTTCTCAAGATATTTAGAATGGAAATAGTTAATACATGTCATTATTGACAAGAAAATAAACATGTCGAGAAAGATAGTTATTTGACTGAAATGATAAATTTGGGAACTTTTTATTTTTTAAATTGGATGATGTTAAACGAAAAGGAACCAAGCGCCAAATTACGAAAACTGAGTAAAAGGCATCATCCGACTGAGCAGTGTTCAATATAATATATATAATATATATATATATATATATATATATATATATATATATATATATATATATATATATATATATATATATATATATATATATATATATATATATATATATATATATATATATATATATATATATATATATATATATATATTTATATGTATGTCCGTTTTCTGTTGATTCTCTTTAAATGTTTGCCTAGCCGTGTGCTTTTCATATTAAAACTACAAAACTATTATAAAAAAGAAAGGTATTAGCCTAAAACAAAGGTAAACATAGGAATTAGTGAAAGATCTTAAAGTATTGTGTTGGCTGTTTGGGAAAATATAATTTTCGAAAAAATGGATAAAGGAGACTTCTATTCTACAGAACAAACAGAGAAACAAATCTGCAATAGAAAACACCGTAAACCATGTTGTAGATTTTCCTTTTGGTTACAAGTAACCAAGAACTTGGTTCTTTTTTAAAATTAATAACAGTACTCCGGTATTTCTTAAAAAAGAATTATGCGCCAAATGTTTATTAAAATGTGTAAAGTTTGAAGCTATGTTTTGTCAATTGATTCTTGTATTCATCTTAAATCAATTTTGTCATAAATTGTGGATGAATTTTTCTTGATAGCTCAACAAAGAGAGATAGAACTCGCTCATACGTTAGAAGGCAATATCTCAAAATCACAGTTTGGCGCTTGGGTCCTTTTCGATTAGCATTATCCAATTAGTCATAAATTTTTCTTCCAAAAAATGATGATAAAACAGTTTCTGTTGAACTTTTGGCACAAAAACATTTCAAATTTATGATTTCAGTCTAATAACTATTTATTCAATATGTTTAATTTATGTCAATGACAACAGGTATTGATAATTTTGATTTCAAATATCTCGAGAACTATTATTCGTAGCGATTTTCTAAGAGACTTTTTCTATATGTATATTTTTTTACTCAGTATTTTTATACAGGTACGGACGAAAAGTTATTACTCCTTAAACCTGTTAAAAAATATGTAGATGGCGCCTTCTACAAGTAGGAGTCATATTGACATCTAAATCAAATTTATCGTGTCAAAACAATCAATATAAATTTTGACGTTATTTCAGAAATTATTTGGAAAAAATCGAAATAAAAATGAAACTTCTACACCCTGTATCTCCGAAACTAAGCATTTTAGACGTACATTTATACGAACTTTTTTACTTATTTTTAACTGCAGAATATGCTGCCGAAGTTTCCAGAATACAGTTCGGACCACCCTGTATTTTTAAAGATATAAGATTGGTGTAACATAAGTTGACTTACTTAATATCACAGTCTGCTAGTTGCGATCCAGTGACAGATATGCCCACGGCATAACTGGAATCCTCGCCGGAACTGGAACTACTAAACGAGTCTTCCGGTACTTCCCTGGTTTTCAGTACGTCCCTCAGCCTTTGAGCAAAATTGTGCCTCAATTCTGGCGTTTCCAGGTCTATGCTGTATCTTTTGTGGTAATTATCATCTCCACTACCTAAAACATAATTGTAACATTAAAAAATACTGTAAAGTCATGCCAGAGTCAGAGAGTCAGAGCCTTACCATCGTCCAAACTGCTTTTGGCACTATGGAAGTCATCCTCACTAGAATCGGAGCTTGAAAATCGGGTTTGGATGTTCCTAGTGACAGGCAAGCATTCTCCAGATGAACCCAACACTATAAATCTTCCTCTTCTGTTGTTTAATATGCTTTCTGGACAGGGTTTGTCCTTTCTTATGCTGGGTTCTACGTGCAGTTGGTACATGGGCTTGCTACCGTTGTTATTGATCCCGCTGTCTTGTGAAATCAGTGAGTCGGTTCTTGTGGTACTAAAAATGTCAGTTTGTTAAAAATGTACTATCTTATATAGAAGTACTTGGATTTTGTATAGATTATTTGATTGATTTTTTGCTAAAGATTTTTTGAAAGTTTAAAAATCATGGTCTCAGTACCCGGCCAAAGGAGTGCCTTTAATTTTTAACTAGTAATTATAAATTAGTAATTTATCAACGTTAATTAGCAATTAGGGTAGATATTGAATTGAATTGTTTCTTTTTAATAGAGAATGTTAATGATAAATGAAAATTAAGAAAACACGTCTCATTACCCCTGATCTAATGAGTGATTTTAATTAGTAATTAGTTACTAGTAATCATAAATTAGTAACCAGTAATTAGTAATTAGTATGAGTACTGAACAGAATTGTTCTTTTTGCCAAATAATGTTGAAGATAATTGGAAGTTAAGTAAGTGAATACCCCTGTCAAATGAGTGACTTTAATTTTTAACTAGTAATTATAAATTAGTAATTCATCAACGTTAATTAGCAATTAGTGTAGATATTGAATAGAATTGTCTCTTTTTAATAGAGAATGTTAATGATAAATGGAAATTAAGAAACTCGCTACCCCTGCTCTAATGAGTGATGTTAATTAGTAATTAGTAACTAGTAATCATAAATTAGTAACCAGTAATTAGTAATTACTCTGGGTACTGAACAGAATTGTTCTTTTTGCTAAATAATGTTGAAGATAATTGGAAGTTAAAACATGGTCCCAGTTACCACTGTCAAAAATGAGTGACTTTAATTTTTAACTAGTAATTATAAATTAGTAATTTATCAACGTTAATTAGCAATTAGTTTAGATATTGAACAAAATTGTCTCTTTGTAATAGAGAATGTTAATGATAAATGGAAATTTAAAAACACGTCTCTCATTACCCCTTTAATAACTAGTAATTATAAATTAATAACCTGTAATTAGTAATTACTCTAGGCACTGAACAGAATTGTTCTTTTTGCTAAATAATATTGAAGATAATTGGAAGTTAAAACATGGTCTCGGTACCCCTGTCAAATGTTAGTGTAGATATTGAATAGGATTGTTTCTTTTTGATAGAGAATGTTAAAGATATTTAAAAAACACGTCTCATTACCCCTGCTACAATGAGTGAGTTTAGTAGTTAGTAACTAATAATTATAAATTAATAACCAGTAATTAGTAATTACTCTGGGTACTGAACAGAATTGTTCTTTTTGTTAAAGGATGTTAATTATACTTGGAAGTTTAAAAATATGTCTCAGTACCACTGCAATAGTGAGTGGATTTAATTAGTAATTAATAACTAGTAATTAGAAAATAGTGGTAATTAGTAATCAATAAACGGTAATTAGTAAATAGAGTGTATACTGAACAGAATTGATTCATTTTGCTAAAGAATGTTAAGTGGAAGTTTAGAAATACGTCTCAATACCCCTGCTCAGTAAGTAACTTTAATTAGTAATTATTAATTAACAGTTACTTAGTAATTAGTTTTTCTAACTAGTACTTAGTAAGTAGCAAGTGGTAATTAGTAATTAGAGTACTGAAAAATTTTGATAGATATGATTAAAAGAAAGCTAAATATGTCTTAAAAAAATAATCTTCTTACCTACATGATTGTTGAGTTATGAAGGGAATATTCGTGCTATTCCCCTCGGATGGATTTGAGCTGATGGACTCTCCAATGGGAGACAGTCTCCTGTGCCGTTGACTGTACGTTGTTGAGTTGGCGTTTGAGGTATTCTGGTTATCTTTTAGGCTAGCTTGTTTCTGCTGGAACCCGAGCAGAGATTTGTTCAATTCCCTAAGGATATTGTCTTCTTCGTATTGACCGATGGGTAGTTTGGTGTAGTTTTCAGCATCCATACAGCACACTTGCATCTGCACATACAATAAATGTATAATTTATTATATATTTCAATTTTTTTTTACCTGTTTGCTTTCTTCTAAGCTTTCCACTGTAGCTTTACGTTTGAAGTCTTTAATTCTAGTGATTTGTCTGGCTCTGTCAATTGTCACTACTTCGTTGTCTTCTAGAGCCTCTACGTTGAGTAACATCACCAACAGTTCCGGAATTGTAGTAAAGGTTACAGATTCCTATGAAAGAAATTTCTGTTAAAATACCGGTGGTTGTAGTAAAATATGCAGCAGAATGTTCATGGTCAATCTTTAAGAAATTGTAGTCATTGTAGTAATTTGTAATTGGTAGTTGCTAATTAGTAATTATTTGCTAATTAGTAGTAGTAATTCAGCATTTAGAAGTTTAAACTTAGTATTAATAATTAATTAGTAACTACTAATTACTAATTAGTAGATACTAATTAGTATTTTTAGTAATTAGTAATTACTAACTAGTAACTACTAATTGGTATTAATTTTTTGGTAAACATTTAATTTTTAAGTAGCCTTCGTTACCTGTGTACAGCCTGTTCCTAAAACGTTTCCACCAATCTTACTACTACAAAAACACACTTGCAAATTCTCTGGATCTGCCCTATCGAGTCTACCCTCGTGTTTTATTTGCAAAGGGCACAAAGGTAGGCTACACTCCAGCCAATCATCTATGGTCAGCCATTCTTTACTACTCATCACCTAAACAGAACAGAGATTATCACTTGAAAAAATATTAAACAAAATTAAACAGAAAATAAATTTAAAAATTAACTCGCTTACTTGTCTCAACACCCTGTAACTACCCTCGATGTTGTCATCCTCTTCCAGCCAATCGAAATACCGCAAAATGCTTCGCAGTTTTGCTTGTTGTGCGTTGTTGTTCTTCAGACTTTTGAAAAAATTGGCGAAATTGAAATTCTGTAACGTGGGGTGGCTTTTTTGGGTTCTTGTGGGAAAAGTGGAGAAAAATGCGTTTGCTAGGAGAGATGCGGCAAAAGAATATTCTATTTCTGTTGAATCGGCTGAAAAAAGAAAAAAAGTTTCATACACTTAACACATCATCACAAATTGGCTGAATTTTTCTTAACAATCTATACTAATGTACTTGTAATAATCTATACTAATATATAAAATCCTTAAGTGACTGACATACTGATTAATCACGATCCTGCTCAAATCACTCAACGTAAGAAGCTCAATTTTACATACAGGTTGATTCTAGGGTGTAGAGGTTCGATAAGAAGGGATTTTTCGAAATTCCAGTTCCAAGAGGGTGAAACCACCCCTCAAATATTACAATATTTTTTATTTAAAAAACGGTCAAGTTTCCGAAAAAACGCTTAAACACGTATACTTTTGTTTTTTACATATTTTAAGATTTTTTAAAAATGTATACAGGGTGTTTCGAAAAATCTGGTCATTGATTAATCACGATCCTGCTTAAAGCGCTTGACGTAAAAAGCTGATTTTTGGAAAACAGATTGACTTTAGGGTGTAATGTAAAGGTGCGATAAGAAGGGATTTATCGAAACTCGAATTCTAACGGGGTGAAACCACCCCTCAAATATTAGAACATTTTTTATTTAAAAACCGGAAAAACTCTTAAACACGTATATTTTATTTAGTTGTTTTACATATTTTAAGATTTTATAAATTTATACAGGGTGTTTCATAAAATATGACCGTTGAGTAATCACGATTCTGCTTAAACTGACGTTTAAAGCTGATTTTTGGCAAACGGATTGACTGTGGGGTGTAGAAGTTCGATAAGGAGGGGTTTCTCGAATCTCAAATTCCAAGAGGGTGAAAACGCCCCTCAAATATTACAATATTTGTTATTTAAAAAACGGTTAGTGTTTCGGGAAAACGCTTGGACACGCATAATTTATTTTGTTTTTTTACATATTTTGAATTTTTTTAAAAAATCATACAGGGTGTTCCAAAAAGTTGGGTACCTAATTGATTAACCACGATTCTGCTTAAACTGCTTGACGTAAAAAGCTGATTTTTGGCAAACGGATTTTTCGAAAGTCAAATTCCAACGAGATGAAACTACCCCTCAAATATTACCAAGTCATATAATAATATCGCCATATGGTTTTTTTTATGCTAACACAAATGTGAGAAAATTTTATCCAGTTTGTATGTTAATGGAAATTCTTGCTTTGCTTTATCATCGCCATTATAAATGATTAATTCGACGCGAACGAAGTCGCGGGTACACGCTAGTATTGTATAAGTAAATATTGACAATACCTTGCTGTTGTAAACTGAAATGGAACCCGTTTCTAGGCCTCAAATCTTTTATGCTCAAAGCTCTTTTAGCTATGTTTGGTAACGTGTGATTGAGAAGGTTATCTCGTTCTTTTTCCGTCATTTCTTGCTCAATAAAATCCAGAAAGCCAACAAACTGATCTGGATCCACTGTCTCTTCGTCTGGGTCCAAACTCACACTAGAAAAAGTATAAATTTGCATAAATTTGAGAGGTTAGTTTATTTTTTTTTCTATAGTGTGTCTATTTTATTATATCTTTTACTTACCTACACATTTCGTATATTTTCTGCATGGACTGGGCGACATCGCGGGCATTTTTAGGATGTAGAATTTTTTTGAGGCATTTTTTGACAGAGTCCCACCAGGGTAGATCAGAGGGTAGCATAACCAAGGCCATGATTTCTCTGTGCGTGTCCTTTAAACAAAAAAAAAACATTTTTATTGCCATGTTTTTATTAGATCACACTGTAGATATTTTAGGTTTTTTTTCTTTAAAAAGGCTGTATATTGTTATAATACAAAAAAAAATAGAAAAAGTAGCTGTTTATTGCTTGTTAGAAAATATTTTTTTATATACCGGGTGCGTCTCAAAAGTGGCTCACCTCTATAACTTTTTTATTTTTTCAGATAAAAAAACGAGAATTGGTATATTAGTATATGACATAAATTAGGATTGATTGACGTATTCAATTCAATATCAGTATCAAATTCAAGACAACATTTTTCGATCACTTCCTTTTTTACCGGAAATGCCTACAACTTTTGATTTTTAAATGGCACCTTCGATATTTTTTACTCTCTTCGATAGAAAATGACACTCTGAATAGAATGACATATCGTATGTCAACTTTTGACATTTTCGAATATGGTTTATTTGAAATTGTAACATGCGGTTCATAACGACAATTTGACTCGAAATACCTAGTGTGTGGTATCAAATTATTCGTAAAAAAATGCTTTTTCCAATTATGCTAATGAGCCACCCTTCTTCCATTTGAAAAAAATTAGATATAATTAAAAAAAACGATTTAGGCATCTTTTTACAGGCCCGAACAAGACACGAAAAACATTAGACTATCAAAACTATTTTTTCAAGGTACCTTAATTAAAAATTAGTGGTTTTAACACAACCATGGCACTCTAGATTGAAATTTAAAATACTATTTTTTAACTGAAAAAGAAAAAAGTTGACATAATATAGGTCAGAATTGCATTTTCTATCAAATAAAGTAAAATCAAAAGTTGTACTCATTCCCGGTGAAACAGGAAGCGACTGAAAACAGTTGAATACGCCAATCAATCCTAATTTATGTCATACACTAACATACCAAATCTCGTTTATTTTTCTGAAAAAATAAAAAAGTTATAGGGGGTGAGCCACTTTTGAGAAACCCCCTGTATAATATGGTTGTGTAGGTGTTGGAAGATTTAAATGTCAACTTCTTTTTATGACAGTTTATGAGAAAAAAAGTTAAACACTTACTTTTATCTATTATTACTCAAAAATATATCCAAAAAACTGCCCCAACACCATTGACAGCATAGACACGATTTTTTGAGGTCGCGTCAAATACAAATAATTCATCGAAACGCCAACAAAAACACTTTTATTACACTTGAAAGAACACCACGCGCACAAAAACCCGCACTTTCATTTAAAAAACACCGGGAAACTTAAAACAATTCCGATAGCATAATTCTAGGGGGTGAAAAGTACAGAAGGCCGACTGGAAACGACTGAAAATCGAAAGAAAAGCCAAAGAAAAACGAGAGGAATTGGTGGAAATCGGTCGCGGGCTCCCCTTTCAGCGAGAAGCCATGCTGGGAGCGTCTAAAAATAAGCGTCGCGACGGCGGCGATGACGTCACGCCGTCGACGCTCGTGACGTAGAGGTTTCGGTTGTCAGGGGCAACGGGGACGCCCAACACGTAAGCGTGGGTTGTGGGTAATTCTTGCAGTGTCGGATGACGACATTGAATGGGAAAAAGGGGTGAGACGGTCAGAGAAATAAGAAAACATAGAGGAGTTCATAATTATTTTAATAACAGTATTGAAAGAGTTGTTATTTAAAGAGCCAAGATTTTTTTTTCTGGTTTGGACATATAAACGGACACTTTTCAAAATGCTTTGACATTTTGAAAAATGTTTAGTAACCAAAACTAGTAACAATAGTATACCCGGTGATTCTCAAAAGAGGCTCACCCCCTGTAACTTTTTTATTTTTTCAGATAAAAACACGAGATTTGGTATTTTAGTATATGACATAAATAATTAGGATTGATTGACGTCTTCAATTGTTTTTGGTCACTTCCTGTTTCACCGGAAATGACTACAACTTTTAATTTTTAAATGGCACCCTCGTTATATTTCTGCTTTATCCATATATTATATGAACATATCGCAAGCTGCACTAGAAGCAATTCTGGACTTGCAATCAATCGACTGGCTTGTGAAGGATCTGGCTGCTAAGGGTGCCCTAAGATTAAGGGAATCCATTCTGTGGAACCAGACCAACTACGGTCACTCGAGGATATTGCCAGTGATAGGGAAAATCATGGTGAACACGAGCCCACATCTGCTAGACCAGAAAACGGACTATATGCTCACCAAACATGATTTTGGAGAAAAGATAAGGATTCGCATCCCGACAAGAGAAGAATGGGAAAGCAACCGAGTAATAAACACTCAAGAGATAGCAGTCTACACAGATGCTTCCGCAAATTAAGGGGGCACAGGTATAGGCATCTTCTCAGAGAAACTAGACATCCGGCGATCTTTGAGGCTATCGGATGGCTGTAATGTTCTACAAGCAGAGGTTTACGCCATAAAGGAAGCGGCTAGTTGTATACGAGAGAAAATTGCTGATAGACCAATAGGGGATATAGTGATATACTCTGACAGCTTGGCCGCTTTAAGAAGCATCACCATGCAATCAGTGAGATCGAAAACTGTGATGGAATGAAGGACGCTATAGGAACTGCCATCAAAGCCAAGCAGCAAGAGACGTGGCAACACCGTGAGGACTGCGCTATAGCTCGAAGACTATGACCAGTGGTAGATAGCATAAAGAGAAAACAACTACTAGAGCACAAAAAGGACCTAGTACGCATAATTGTAGGTGTCGTCACTGGAAACTGCCCCACGGGGGTAAACCTCGTAAGATGGAAAGTTTCCGACGACGACTACTGCAGAGAATGCGGAGAGGAAGAAGAAGCCATAGAGCACTTGCTGTGCCACTGTCCGGCACTGGAATACCGACGCTTTAAAACTTTAGGGCAAGGTTTTTTGAAGGGACTAGAGAAAGCAGCAGAAGCCAACATCAGCGACATCGGGAACTTTGCAAAGAGCTGGAAGTGCTTTAACGCAAAGAAAGAATGAGAGGAAGGTTTGGTAAAACAATACAGGGGTATCGCAATGGGCCCAAGGCCTCCGAGTGAGGGATCAAATATGATTCTAAACCCCAGCAACCATTTTCTATCGAATCGAATAAAGTAAAAAAATACCACTGGCTGCCATTTAAAAATCAAAAGTTGTAGTCATTTCCGGTAAAACAGTAAGCGAAAACAATTGAATACGTCAATCAATCCTGACTTATGTCATATATACTAACGTACCAAATCTCGTTTTTTTTAACTGAAAAAAAAATAAAAAAGTTATAGGGGTAAGCCACTTTTGAGAAACACCCGGTACTGTTTTATTAGAAGTAAAAATGATACTTTTTGTGTCGAGGTTGTACGTTTGACGTTACAGCCGAGGCACAAAATGTACATTTTTACTCTGAATAGAACATTTTTTAAACAATTTATAGATATTTTTATTGTTTGAGTTGTGACAAGGATACAGGGTGTAGAAGTTTAATTTTTATGTCGATTTTTTTCAAATTATATCTAAAGTAACGTCAATATTTGGGTGAAAATTGGTATCTGCTTTTTTCTACTTGTAGAGGGCGCCACCTTCATGTTTTTTAACTGTTTTGAAAAGTAATGACTTTTCGTACGTACCTGTAATATATTAAACTGGGTAAAAAATATACATTTTCGCCGGTTTTTTTTACGTAAAAAGGTTCTCTTGGTAAAAAGCCTACAAACATAAAAAAAACGATTTCAAGTGTAAAATATTCTTTATTCCAAACATAATAAACCATTTAATAACTCCTTATTACTTTATTTGAACAAAAAATACATCCCTAACGTAATCAACGCATGTATATAATTAATACTAATCATTTCAGAGCCATTGCAAGTTCTTTCCAACGCGTTAGTACTCAGTCCTTTCCTGATAAGTATCCCATGGACGCCATGGATCTCTCTGATGTCCAGTCGGTTCTCCCTGGACAATATAACAGTGAACAGCTGCTTTTGCTCGGGTAGTCTATGACAAAAAGTGAGCACCAAGTGATTTCCTACAGCTTTCAGTACTTGGACAGTGCCGGCAAAGTGTTTGATGTCTTCTGGCAGTGTTCTTCCTGGAAAAAATCAATGTAATAAATTAGTGGGCGTTCACATAAGATAACGGGGATACGAGGGGAGTCAAAAAAATTAGCGCCGGGAGGCACGTATAGCCGCCCATACTAAAATATGTTAATATCTCGAAAACTGCGACTTTGACTGATTTTGATGTTATTACAAATTTTGTTGCAAATATTATTCCTAATCTTAAATTGAAAACCGCGTTTCGCTAGCTACTGTTATTTTGGAGTTACGATTTTTTAAAATTTTAACCTCCTCCCATACCCCCTACCAATCCCCCACCCCCACCAAAAACTAATGGCCAGTTTCTCGGGTGGCACAGTATTTTTGTGCCAAATTTAGTTAAAATCGGTTTAACGGTTTTTGAGTTATCGTGTTACAGACAGACAGACAGACACCATGAAATTGAATTACATTGAATTACATTTTGAATGAAATTAAAAAAACGTTTTTTTGCCGATCTTAATAGCCTACCATACCTGTTGGTATGGTCGGCTAAAAATGCAATAATTTCAAAGAGACAGTCGGATTAATATAGGAAATCTGCCCCGCGGCTTTTTTGACTCGCACTCAGGGGATCGATTTGGTGTCGAATCAAAATAATTTATCTAAATTTTTAGCTCTTTAACTCAAACGGTTTTCGAGATTTTCAAAAAAACTGTTTTTTCAATTTTATATTTATTTTTATAGTAAAATTCAAAATTAATTAACGATGATTTTTATAATAAATATATATATAATCTAAGGCATGAAAAAATTTTTAGCGGAGGAAAGAAAATTAAAATCTTCATTTTTTTAACTTTTGTGAAATATGTCACTCAGTAAAAATCGTCAGAAAATGTCTTTTATACTTCTTTACACTCAGGAATTTTTTAGAATTTTTGTGGTGGAACAATATGAAAAAAATTAAAAACTCATTTTTTCTAAAATCTTCTTGGATTCATTTTTTTAATAATAATCTTTTTGTCTATTACTGACAAGGATGCATTTTTAATGAAAAAATATTTTCTACGCACTTTTTTAAACTAAACAAAAATATAAGTTAGTTAAAACAGAAGATTTTCGAAAAAAATGAGCTTTTAATTTCTTTTCATATTGTTCCACCACTTCAAAAAATTCTAAAAAATTCCTGAGTGTAAAGAAGTATAAAAGACATTTTCTGACAATTTTTAGTGAGTGATATATTTCACAAAGGTTAAAAAAATGAAGATTTTAATTTTCTTTCCTCCGATAAAAATCGGCTTTTCGTTTAAGAATCATGATCATATTATTTTTTCATGTCTTAGACTTCTAAGAATTAGAAAAAAATCAACATTAATTGATTTTGAATTTTACTATAAAAATAAAAATAAAATTGAAAAAACAGTTTTCTTTGAAAATCTCGAAAACCCTAACTCGAAGAGCTAAATTTAGGTGAATTATTTTGATTCGACACCAAATCGATCCCTTGAGTGCGAGTCAAAAAAGCCGCTGGGGCAGATTTCCTATTGTTACGTTTTTCTTCAATTCCATGTGGATAGAAAGTCACAATTTATTTACACTAAGTAACAAACAATAATGATTAAAAGACTTAAAGAACTATTTACACACTATTTATAACTATTTATCTAGAAAGAATTTATTTTGAATTTAGCGCGGCAGCTGTACTCGTCTATTTATTTCTATCCTCCTCAGGCCCCAGCCGCCGACTTTTATACCCACAGCTAAAGAGTTCTCGAATAATTCATAGATCATTAGGTGCATAAAGAAGGTTTCGAATGTTCTCGTATGTACTACTCCATTCGAGTGGAACTCGATTGTTCTCTAACGTTCGAATGAATCATTACGGTGTCTATTCTTTAATGCGATATTAAGGTCATCTGGGGGCGGGACATATAGTTAGGTTAGGTCGAGTCCACACGGGTCCGCAACACTATATTAATCCGGCTATACCCTTTCAAAAGTGGCAAATGACGTGACTTCTGAAAATACATACCCTAAGAGATTGATATTAAAGGGTAAAAGTTTGTATGAAACCAATGAAATCAATCAAATTATTTTTTTTAAATTTGGTTAATTTTCAGGCACACTCTGCATATGTAGGACGTTTAATAATGAGTTTATTACCATCTTCAGGTCCAGAACTTATCCAGAACCCCGGTCTGCTCACGTTGTACCTCAAATGGTACTCGGTACTGTAACTGTTATCGTCCCAGTAGATTCGGAGGTACTTCATAGCGTAGAGGTGTTTAACGTAGCCTGCATGGTTAACCCTGCGTCTTTCGTGGTCGTATGTTGTTATTCTAGGAAAAGAAACACTCTGTATATTAGGTACTTATCAAATAAAACCATTTTTGTGAATTAATTTTTTCTAAGTACATATTTTAATTTTTATACCGGGTGCGTCTCAAAAGTGGCTCACCTCTATAACTACAACTTTTGATTTTTGAATGGCACTCTTGGTATATTTCTACTTTATTGGATAGAAAATGACACTGAATAGAATGGCATATCATATGTCAACTTTTGACATTTTTGCATATGGTTTATTTGAAATTGTAAAATGCGGTGCATAACGAAAATTCTACTCGAGATATCAAGTGTTTGGTACCAAATTATTTGTAAAAAAATGCTTTTTCCAAATATGCTAATGATCCACCCTTGCTCCATTTGAAAAAATTGAGATATGATTAAAAATACGATATGGGCATCTTTTAACCGGTCAAATATTTTTTCCAAGGTTACTTGATTAAAAATTATTGTTTTTAACGCAGCCATGGCACTCTAGATTGAAATTTAAAATACGATTATGACATGCCATTCTACTTAGAGTGTCATTTTCTATCGAATAAAATAGAAATATACCGAGAGTGCCGTTTAAAAATCAAAAGTTGTAGTCATTTCCGGTGAAACAGGAAGTGACCAAGAACAATTGAATACGTAAATCAATCCTAATTTATGTCATATACTAACATACCAAATGTCGGTTTTTTATCTGAAAAAACTGTTACTTTTTCTGTTACTTTTTTAACCAATTCTATGCATAATAGAGGAAAATTTGCTAAAATAAATTTGTAAACAATCTGAAAATGTTGGCTTATGTGTTTCTGACATTTAAAGCAACGTTGCCAATGCTAAACCTAAATTTAGCGTGTTTTTTTCGCTCATTCTGGGATTACAAAAGGCGGTCGCCAGCCGCCAGAAGAACGGCTCCTTCCCATAACTGCTATTTTACCAACGAGATCTGACGATTTATAACCACGAAGTGGCACGAAAGAGTTTTGATTGCATTGGTTACAACTTCCATTAATGTTTTGTTGTTATATTATACCAAAAAAAGATTAACCTCCTCCGCAAAGAAGTTGAAACCAATGCAATCAAAACTCTTTCGTGCAACTTTGTGGATATAGGTACCGTATGATCGAATAAAAACGGCGTCAGCGATGGCTATGAAATGAAGATCGCTGTCATTTTATATGTAATAAAATTATATGGGAAATGTCATCGATCGTCATTTCATAGCCATCGCTGACGCCGTTTTTATTCGATCATACGGTATATTTAACTATTGTCAGACCTCATAATAGGTAATTTATTTAAAATCCCTAATCACCCGAAAAAATAGAAGATATGGCAACGTTGTAAATTTTCAAATTTGTAGATTAGTTCTAGAATACATTTGTCTCTCTCATTACATAGGAGAGAGAAAGAAAGATATATGAAATGTCAAACTTCCATCTGGTCTCAATTAATTTTCTTTGCTATTTTGTTAAGAAAAGTGTTTTTCGGTAAAATTTTGGACATTTTTCTATCCTCAATCAAGTGTGGCTTTTAGATAAACTATAATATAATAAAAATATAATGAAATTATTAATTTATAGGGCCGAAATAAAGAAAAATTCAATGTTGAAATTATTTTCCGTTTTCCTGAAAAACGGTAAGAGACCGCCAAGAAAAAAGATTCATAATCTACGACCTCAAAATAGAGTGTACACCAATGAGGAAAATGCATGTTCTTAAATAATGGTTTTAAAAAATAGTTCATATAATTACAAATTGAACAAAAAAAAATCGTTGATATCGGTTAAGAAATGCCTCTAATATAAAATAATTAAATATTGTTAATTTAAATGGCCGGGCAAACGCTCTCTACCGCGCCTTGCCGCTGTGACGTCACCCGCCGTTCTTCTGGTTGAGTGGAGCCAGACGCGTGTTTATTTTACACAGTTTGCTTTTAAACGCTGTTGAATCCGAGTCAAAATTTTAGTTATTTGTGTTAATTAATACATAATTAGTAATTAGTGATATTTATAAATAGTAATGGATAAGCGAAAACAGAAAAAAAAAGGCCCAAGGCCATGAGAAGATATGAAAAGAAATACGTTAAATTATCCTCTGTTTTTACGATTTATTGTTGTGAAGATCATTTTGATGTAAGTTCATATATTTATGTATATTGTCTTACATAGATAGATAATGAATTGAATGTACAGGGTTATTCATTATATTTTGACACCCACATACAGCCTTAACTGCAAGTTTTAGAAGAAAACATTAAATAAAAAAGTTGCATGGTTTTTCATATACTCTCTTTTAAAATTAATTCTAGTTATACAGGGTGTCTCAAAAAAGGTGGTCCAGAAAATAGTAGGTATTTTTTGCTTTTCAACTGTAAATATTTCGTAAACATTTGAAGATAGGTATAGGATATTATACATGAAATATATATAGAATATCTAGAAATTTCCGAAGAATCCAAAAATATATAGGGTGTTTCACTTAAAAAAGTATCTTAATTTTGACGTTTGCTTATGGGACACCTTGTATAATATTTTCATTACTGATAAACAATTTATTTCCTATAATTTCGTAAAAAAAAACAATCTTTAAATATAACAAGGGTAAGGGCGTGTCAATATATAAAAAAAACTTTCTTTTTCACGCTATGCTCTGGAGTTATTTTTCCACGTACTAAACAAATATTTTTGTCTCTTTTCATTTCTACATAACCTACAGCATTATCTCCATACATCTCCCTACCTGATCTGAAAAATAAGTTTATAACATTAATTTATAACTATATAAAAGTTCGTAACAGTAGGTACCTACTTATACTTAAATCTGCCTCAGTACTACAAAGAATAAATGTTACATACCTCTCTGTTTTATTCCTCGTAATTCAGCACCAATAAATTGGGAATTTGTATTTATAAAAGCAGCCAACATAAAAGCATCGACTTTTGGCAAGTTATCTGTTTGTGCTTTTACAAACCCGGAATCTGCCATTACTTAAAAAATTCTCAGAACACACAACACATACAAATAATAACTGCACAAAAAAGCATAAAAAGCTCCTTCAATCAACGCTAAAAGCAACAAAAATGTCTTAATACGCCACCTAAATACGTACATAAACGGAACACGCCTGGCTGCTGCTGGCCATCGCGCGTCGACGAGAACGGCGGGTGACGTCAGACCAATAGAATATCGTTTCAATTCGCGAGGCGTCGTTTGCGTTATCCATAGTATTTTAATGGTCCGTTTTATAAAATTGTGGTACTGCTTTCAAGAAAAAAGTTTTTTTTTGCATTTATACATATTTATTCTAATAAATTGAACAGTTTCTGGCGAAAAATAAAATATATGCATCTTCCTCATTTTGGTGAAAATCGGACGATTTCCAGTTTTCCCAATAATTACCAAAAAGTTATAGGGGTAAGCCACTTTCGAGACGCACTTATAAGTAGAGGATTTCGTGGATTAAAAATGTCTTATTATGTACCTGTCATACTGTTCCCTCTGCTTGATATACTCCTGTTCGCTAGTGTAAGTACTTCTGGGATCCGTTGGGTTCCTGTTGTACGGATATCCAGAACCATAGGTTGTATCGTAAGTTTTGTACAGAGGATTGTAAGTAGTTGTCTCTTTTCTATCTTCCGATATGTGTATAACTGGACAGGTGGTCAGATTGATGGTATAGTGTCTCTCTTCCGTGTGTATGAGTTTTTCTATAACGTACCATATCCCCTCCAACTAAAAAAGAAAAGGTCACTTTCAAAAATTCAGTAGTTTCATGCTCATACGAGCCCTAACAACTAAATGTTCGGACAAACAAAAATTTATTAAAACCTTTATTTTCATTAACTGAATTATTTACATTTAAGAAATACATTAAAAATATATTAAAATCTAACATTTCTAATGAGCATTTAAATAGTTTAGTTTCTATAAACATTAAAATAAACTGTAGGCCAATAAATAAATAAAAATATTGCACAATATCGTGACAACTAAATGTTCGGACACTTTAAAAAATAACTGTTCTAATATGGCGTTACATCGGCACGAACTTGTGCAACCACTGCATGTCTGTTTGGCATTGTTTTTATTAATGATTGACATACGCCAGAGTAAACATTTTGCCATAAATCACTTAATATCATCATCAAATGGGCAACGGTTTCGTGGCACAATTTTTGTTTTGTTTTATGCCACATGTCTCGATAACATTAAGGTCCGGACTGTGCGAAGGCCATGAGGGGACCTTGATGTTCATGTCCCTAAACCATTTTTAGTAGTTTTAGCCATATGGCATGCCCCGCCATCCTTTTGAAATATGAAATTCATATCCTGATAAAGGTCTCTCGCACTTGGCACAAAACTGTTTTTCAAAATTTCTTGATATTTTGACACATTAGTTGTGCTTTTCTACCACCTCATACCTTCCTAGACCCGGCGGATATAAACTCTAAAAGCATAATGTCTTTAAGAAATTCCACTTTCATAAAGATCATCATGCATGCGTGCCGATGTAATCCTTGAACTTGCAATTTGCGATTAGAATTATCAGCGTCGGATTGGAACTTCTGATGGTAAAATATTTAATTATTTCCCAATCCGACGCTAATAATTCCAATCGCAAATGGCGAGTGCACGAATTACATGTTCACATGAGCCACCTTAATATCGATATAATTAACACCGCTAGAGTGTCTATTTGATAAAGATTGCCTCAAAATAACAGTGAAATTTCCTAAAGGCATTATGATTTGAAGGAGTATGTCCAAAATAGGCCCAGAAAAGTATGAGGTGGTGGAAAGCATAATTGATGCGTCAAAAAATCAAAAAATTTTGAAAAATATTCTTGTGTCAAGTGGGAAGGACAAAGGTCCTTGTAACCAATTGTTCTGGTATAGACCAGGACAATAATTTTATATTTCAACAGGATGGCGGGGCATGTCATACAGCTGAAACTACTAAAAATGGTTTAGGGACATGAATCAAGGTCCCCTCATTGCCTTCGCATAGTCCGGACCTTAATGTTATCGAGACATGTGGCATAAAACAAAACAAAAATTGTGCTACGAAACCGTTGCCCATTTGACGATGATATTAAGTGAATTATGGCAAAATGTTTACTCTGGCGTATGTCAATCATTAATAAAAACAATGCCAAACAAACTTGCAGTGGTTGCAAAAGTTCATGCCGATGTAACGCCATATTAAAACAGTTATTTTTTAAAGTGTCCGAACATTTAGTTGTCACGATATTGTGCAATCTTTTTGTTTATTTATTAGCCTACAGTTTATTTTAATGTTTATAGAAACTAAACTATGTATTTAAATACTCATTAGAAATGTTAGATTTTAATATATTTTTAATGTATTTCTTAAACGTAAATAATTCGAACATTTAGTTGTTAGGGCTCGTAGTACAGATTATTACACTCATCATACAGGGTGGCGCCTCTCATACGCCGCGGAGGCTCCAAGGAGAACGACAGTTTGTAGTTTGTACTGAAATGAAATTTTGTGAGCATATGTAGGTTAATTCAGAACACTTTTTAAAAATATAGAGAGTTCTACAGGTTGTCCCAAAAAAGTTACATATCAAAGTTGTGTTTTTTAATGGAACACCCTATATATTAATTGATTTTCGGATTTTGGGAGAAAAATAAAGGTGAGTTTTATAACAGAAGTATATGACTAAAATGTAAAGTTTTTGAAATATGATTTAACATTTTCTAGAAATAAAGAACAATTTTTAGATTACAATAAAAGCTACCTAAATTGGAATTTACCCGGCATAGCCTAATATGTAGTTAAATTAACTACTGTACTTTAAATCAAATTAAAACTTGATTCAAAAAGTTATACAGGGTGAGACAAAATTAATATTGAACATTGGTCACCTTTAAAAGCATGTTACTCTTTTATTTTAAATGGAACACCCGGTTTAAAAATACGTAGTGAGGCGACGTGTATTTGTGAGCAGTCCGCATATTTATAAAAAATATTGATATTTTTATACAAATTTTGTAAAAGTGAGTTAAATTATTTATTAATTTTTTTTATTTTACGCGTATAAAACTATTTGTTACACGTAACAACTATTTGTTACACATAAAAACTATTTTTTAAGTGTAAAAACTATTTGTTACACGTAAAAATCTATTTTTTACGTTTAAAAACTATTCGTTACACGTAAAAATCTATTTTTTACGCGTAAAAAAAATATTTTTTTTAATTCAAACTAAACTTTTTCAAACATATCCTTCAAATTCAATTTAATAGCTGGTAGTAAGAAGTTTTACTTCAAATATTAACACATAGTCCACAAGTATTTTTTTTTATTTTATAAAATTCGTTAAAATATAAGATTTATTATTATGTCGTATAAAGTTATAACTGCGAGATATTAAAAATTTATTTTAATCCCATTTTAATTGATTTTGCCTCGTAAACTGGATAGTAAAATTTTATGAAAATTGGTTATTCGTAACAATAAAAATATGCCTCAATTTGTTGTGCCGTACCTGACTAATATCGACGATCTGTTGTGTCTTCAGATCGGTACAAAAATAGTTCGAGTTCTGAAAGTAATCGCCTGCACAAAACTTCACACCGAACCAGCACAGAACAAGCACAACCCTGCACCAGCATTGCTCCATTTTCGACGGTTTGCGAACAAATATGGAGCCTAGAGGTAGGTATAAATGAGCTGGGAGCGCTCGTCGAGACTATTTAAAAAAATTAACCATTAAAAGACATTTAAAATTGTTGTTTTCGTGGCTAGAGTAGCGAGTTGTGGGATGATAGACGGCAGTTACGTGTTCTCATCTTCTTTAATTTAATCTAAGCCAATTTAGGCCTTAAATGTTCCGGTCTACAAGGTGTTCCATAAGAAATGCACGAAATATTTTATTTTATTTTATAATAATTGTTTTATCTATACTAATATATAAAATCCTTAAGTGTCTGACTCACTGATTAATCACGATCCTGCTCAAACCACTCAACGTAAGAAGCTCAATTTTGGCATACAGATTGATTCTAGGGTGTAGAGGTTCGATAAGAAGGGATTTTTCGAAATTCCAGTTCCAAGGGGGTGAAACCACCCCTCAAATATTACAATATTTTTGTTTAAAAAACGATCAAGTTTCCGAAAAAAACGCTTAAACACGTATATTTTATTTTGTTTTTTACATATTTTAAGATTTTTTAAAAATGTATACAGGGTGTTTTGAAAGATCTGGTCATTGATTAATCACGATCCTGTTTAAAGCGCTTGACGTGAAAAGCTCATTTTTGGAAAACCAATTGACTTTAGGGTGTAGAGGTTCGATAAGAAGGGATTTTTCGAAACTCGAATTCTAAGGGAGTCACGATTCTGCTTAAGCTGCTTAACGTAAAAAGCTTATTTTTGGCAAACGGATTTTTCGAAAGTCAAATTCCAACGAGATGAAACTACCCCTCAAATATTACCAAGTTATATAATAATATCGCCATATTGTTTTTTTCTCATGCTAACATAAATGTGAGAAAATGTTATCCAGTTTGTATGTTAATGGAAATTCTTGCTTTGCTTTATCATTACCATTACAAATGATTAATTCGACGCGAACGAAGTCACGCTAGTATTTTATATTTTTTTAAGGCTGTACTTAAACTGCCGTTAAACGGTAGCTTACTAAAATGCCGTTAATAGGTATGACGTCGTTGATGTGACGCACTTGACGGCTTTATGAAATATAGAAATTTTATAAGGACTAACCAACGCTATCCACCCCGCCAAATAACCAACGCAACTAACCTCGACACTAATAAAAAATATAAAAAACAAATATAAATTAGTAAAAATCAACCAACCCCACCAAATAACCAACTAACCAATGAATTAACACCCTTCAAATAACCAGGCTAACCAACCCGCCAAATAACTAAACCAATCCAACTAAAAAGAGTGAAACCAATGCAATAAGATCACGCTATAAGCAAAAAAAATATAAAAAAGTCTTGGTCGGCGTGAGAATTGAACCACGGACTATTCGCTTACGAAGCGATAGCCTCAGCCACTGACCCACAGGTGCTCTTGCAGAATGCTTAAGGCTAGGCATTACTTTCCGCCGACATGAACGACGTCACAATATATATTAACGGCATTTTAGTAGGCTACCGTTTAACGGCTGTTTAAGTACATCGTTTTTTTAACAGAACTAACCCTTTACCAAGGAATGATTCCTAAAAAGTTTTTCGCATTTGTTTTGAAACACCCCGTATAGTACGATCTGCATCTACGTGTAATTTTTGGTTTATTTCGTACGATGTCAAATTATTATAATTAGGTTGTTTTCTTTACCACGATGATTATTGTTAGAGGCTATTAAGTCCAATTTTACTTTCTTTCATACAAGACACACTAATTTTCATAACGTAGTTAAATTCGATATTTTTATTCAAATATTATTGAATAAAATGGGAAAATATAATAATTATGTATAATAAAATTATAAAAATATCAAAAGGACGATTAAATGTGCAGGAAATACAGGGTGTCCGTTAAATACGTGCTTGTATTTTAAGGGGAGTTTATTCAACGTCCAGTGTTGCCACATGGACCAAAAATTCATTATAAAATATGTTGAAGATTAGATAAAATATTACCTCATGGTAATTTCTAAGAAGTCAATCGTTTATTTTTTTTTATTTTTTTTTTATAACTCATAATCTATAATTTTTTAAACTACTTATTTGATAATCGTTCAAGTAGCATAATATTACTTAAAATATTAGTATCTGTATCCACAAATAGGTAGAATTCATTTAAATAAAAGATCTTGACAAGAGATAAGAATTTTGTCACAGCATTAAAGTAAAATAGGATGGTTTTTAGTTATCCTCAAAAATATTGGGAGATTGTTACATATATATTCTAGTTTGTTTTTTTTTTTGGTTATAGTTAAATAGTAAGTTACGTTATTTAGTTTTTAGATATATAGTTTTTTTATTTTTATTTAAAAAAAATAAATATTTCTTAGTGTTTTTAGTAGCTAATCCTGTTAAAACAAATAGTTTTTAACAGATTCATTATGAAAAAATTTAGGATTTGATTTCGATATTTGAATATTTAAAATTAACTTTATTAAGTATAGCGGTCAATTTGTTTATTTTTTTAATTCTACATGAAATTGTAAACATAAACATATTTTATGTAAAATATACCTATAAGTTCAAAAATGACATTTGCTGAGCAAAATATAGGTACTTAAACATTTACAAAAATATAAAAATATACAAAATACAATATGATCGAAAAAACCCGCGTCGACGATATCTTTGGAATGAAGATCGCTGTCATTGTATATGTAAAATTATATGGGGAATGTCGTCGATCGTCATTTCCAAGCCAACCAGACGCCGTTTTTTTTCGATCATACGGTACATAACTAAGCCATGTAACTTGTAAAAAATGTGTGTATTTTATCATTCTGTGCTAGAGTATGCTTATCAATCAAGTTTCAGTCGTTTCAAAAAAATAAACTATTTCCTAATAAATTAGTTGCAAATTGAAATATCCAAAGCGTGACCTCATAGGGAATGTTAGTACTAATACAGAAAACAGAAATACACAAACTTATTCATTGAACTAATGATTTCATATAGCTATCGAGAATTCTGTTTTATCTATACAGGTTAAAGATTAATCTTAATACATGTAAGATGTACAGGATGTTCAACGTTTATTTTAAACAATATCATCTTCGTAAATATTGGTTTAAGTAAAAAAATTAAATTATGAAGGTTTATACAGGGTGTCAAAAAAATAGTATCTCTAACTTTGGTGGGTGATTCTACAGATAAAAATAAAACGAAAAATTCCTATGAACATATCCCTTAAATTTCTTCAGAAAGAAGTTACAGCCCTCGAAAGTTTTGACACTCTGTATATTTATTTTAAGAGCTATTGATTAAAATAATACCATGTACAGTGTGGCGTTTCTCATACTACACAGTCTCTAAGAAAAAAGACAATTTGTATCCAAATTATTTTTTTCAGCGTATGAAGTTTATTTGGATCGCATTTTAAAATTATGTGGAGCTATCCAGTTTATCCAAAAAAAGTTACTTATTAAAGTTGTATTTTTATTGGGACACCCTATAAGATCGATTTCATTGAAGTTTAGTTTATATTGAAAATGTATGGTTTTTGGTATATTTAACATTTCGAAAAACGATGAACAAATTTTAAATTTAAATAAAACCTACCTAAATTTTAATTTATCCTTTATAGCATGTTATACAGTTAAAATATCTATTACAATATACAGGGTGTCCCAGAAATAAGTGCAAGTATTTTAAGGGGTGGTAGATCTCGATAAAACATAAAAAACATATTTTCATCGTTTTTCAAAAAAGTCCAAAATAACGGAGTTATTTTACTTTGAAAATTTTCAAAAAAAAATATTTTTTGCTAAAATTTTGAGAACCACTGGATCTTTTCTGGCTTTCTTGTAAATTTAATTTACTACCTATGTTGCCATATTATCAAGAAATTATTTTTTTTAATAAAAACTAAAAAAATTTCAAAAAAAAATTTCAAAAATTTTCGCGAAAAAAAACTTATATGCGTGTTTCTGGGGTATATAACTATACTACCAGTTAAAATATTTGCACTTATTTCTGGGACACCCTGTATACGATACACCCAATTTAAATTTGCCGTGAAAAGTTATACCAGGTGAAACAAAATTAATATTGAACATTGTAAGTTACTCTTTTATTTTAAATGCATTTATCCAGCATTATCTAGTATATTATTTCTGTATTCCCTTCATAACGAATCATCTGTAGAATTGTTTTTTGCGCTTTTCTGATAAATAAATCAATTTTCTGATACAGTTAACAGAATTTAAATCACAATAACACTTACAGCTATTGTCATATTGTGAAACAACAATTTATTAAAACTACTTAATATTTCCGAAACTATTAGAGATGGATATAGGACACTGTATATGAAATATGTCTAGAATTTATTGAATAACCCAAAGATTAAATAGGTAATATACAGGATGTTGTATTTAAAATAAGAAAGTTGGTATTAATAACTCATACACGGCACACCCTGTATAAAAAGTTTTAATTATATGCGTAACTAAAAATACCAATCTACGTGTCCGAGCGTTTTTTCAAAAACGCCTCCATTTATTTTTATCGAATACTAGCGTGTACCAGCGACCTCGTTCGCGTCGAATTAATCATTTGTAATGGTGATGATAAAGCAAATAAAAAAATATTTTTTTTTATTTTTGTATGTTAAATTTTCATTAACATACAAACTGGATAAAATTTTCTCACAATTGTCAGCATGAGAAAAAACAATATGGCGATATTATTATATAACTTGGTAATATTTGAGGGGTAGTTTCATCTCGTTGGAATTTGACTTTCGAAAAATCCGTTTGCCAAAAATAAGCTTTTTACGTCAAGCAGTTTAAGCAGAATCGTTGTTAAGAAATTACCCAACTCTTTGGAACACCCTGTATGAGTTTTTAAAAAAATTCAAAATATGTGAAAAAACCAAATCAATTATGCTTGTCCAAGCGTTTTCCCGAAAGACTAACCGTTTTTTAAATAACAAATATTGTAATATGTGAGGGGCGTTTTCACCCTCTTGGAATTTGAGATTCGAGAAACCCCTCCTTATCGAACCTCTACACCCCACAGTCAATCCATTCGTCAAAAATCAGCTTTAAACGCCAAACAAGTTTAAGCAGAATCGTGATTACTCAATGGTCATATTTTATGAAACACCCTGTATAAATTTATAAAAAATCTTAAAATATGTAAAATAACAAAATAAAATATACGTGTTTAAGAGATTTTCCGAAAAACTCAACGGTTTTTAAATAAAAAATATTTTTATATTTGAAGGATAGTTTCACCCTCTTAGAATTCGAGTTTCGAAAAATCCCTTCTTATCGAACCTCTACACCCTAAAGTCAATCTATTTTCCAAAAATCATCTTTTTACGTCAAGCGCTTTAAGCAGGATCGTGATTAATCAATTTTTATTTTTTTTAACCAGATTTTTCGAAACGCCCTGTATACATTTTTAAAAAGTCTTAAAATATGTAAAAAAACAAAGTAAAATATACTTGTTTAAGCGTTTTTTCGGAAACTTGACCGTTTTTTAAATAAAAAATATTGTAATATTTGAGGGGTGGTTTCACCCTCTTGGAACTGGAATTTCGAAAAATCCCTTCTTATTGAACCTCTACACCTTAGAATCAACCTGTATGCCAAAATTGAGCTTCTTACGTTGAGTGGTTTGAGCAGGATCGTGTTTAATCAGTATGTCAGTCACTTAAGGATTTTATATATTAGTATAGATATTCTATCTGGTTGATACATGTACTATACAGGGTGTCTTAGATTTTAGTCGGGAAAATTTAATAGAACTTGCAAAAATAAAACAAAAAGTTCATATCAACTTGTAAGATTTAAAGCTTCCTTTTCGAGATACAGGGTGTTAAAGTTACTTAAAAGAGAAAAATAATTTAAGATATTTGAAAAAGTATTTAATCGATTTTTATATAACTTGACCCGTTTATAATACTTACTATGGGACTTAATTTGATGTAATTAGATTTAAGTTTAATGGCCAGGGGCGGCGGTGGGGCATCACTGTTAAATTATTTTAAAGGAGAAAATAGGCACGCCACTGCTTTTTTAGAGGTTTAATATTATTTTTGGATTTAGTAATTAAAAATACTATTTTTTGCCTTCTGACTTTTTTGTCTATCTTGCTTAGTTCTTGCGAAAAAAATAAATTCTAATTGGTAATTACTATTATAATTGGTATTCTAATGGTACCCTGTATCTCGAAAAGGAAGATTTTTAAATCTTACAAGTTGATATAAACTTTTTGTTTTATTTTTGCAAGTTCTATCGTCTATTAAATTTTCCCGATTAAAATCTGAGACACCCTGTATATTAACTTTTCTATAGATTCTTCATTCGCTGGTTTATACTACCACGAATTCTATTAGTTTCTACATCAATGGCAGTTTTGATCACGAACTTTATTTTTTTAATAGAATTGTTTACAAATAAATATCTACATAAACGTCGATAAAAGAGTTAAATCAGTTGTAGAACACAGACGATTCAAGAACGTCAACATTTCAGTGGTTTTAACACACGTAAATAGTTCAACAGTGTCATATATGCGATAAAAAGAATTATTAATCTTTTATTCGAGTATGTTAGTGTTCGTATGTGTTAAGACTGGACGATTTGACTTTTACTAGACCTCAAATAGTGCGACTCACCGCCTTGTCTGACATTTTTGACGATGTTATAGTAGTGATTAAGGAAATAAAATAGTTCTAGTTTAAGTGGTGATAAATTCATTTAAATTAAGGATGACTCAGTTACGTAAGTTGATATTCATTAAAAAGGTGTCGTTTATAGTTCAAATAGTATTTTAATAATTATTAGACTCATTGAAATTAACAAATTTCCTAAAAGATTTCTTAATCCAATAAAATTGTCGTTTGAAAAAAAAAATACGGGCAAGCTGATTTTTTCAGAGTTTGTCAGCGACTGTCTTCTGAGTGTAAAATAAACAAAATCGGAAATTTCCCCTTTGCGGTTTTTGGGCAATAGGGGTGTTTTTTTTTGAACTGTACTACAACAAAATAATTAGACGCAAATTGTACATAAGAACATTCTCTATAAGTTCGCCTAATGAATTTTTTTTATAAGTTTATTATTTCCGGACTTAGCGGCCGTTTCATGAGCCCTTTGGGGTGGTTTTCAAAAAGTTTGATTTACAGCAAATTGACCCGTATGAAAGTTGTTCATAATAAATGGACAAGCAACTTTTCCTCATGATTTTTTTTGTAGCTTCATTATTTTTGGATATAGCGTCCACTTCATGAACAAATTGGGGTAGTTTCATGATTTTTGTTTAGTTCTACAAATTTACCAACTTAAAGGTGTTCATATTAAAATTACTTGCAAACTTCCCTATGATATGTATTTATTTCCCCAAAACGAAACGTGGAATTCAAGTGAATGAATATTATGATTTTTTTTATTTGTATCGTCTTCTTTTGTGGGATGGATGGCGTTGATGACCTGTTCATGATCTGGGCGCTATCTCCAAAAATAGTCAAGTTACAAAAAAAGTTCATAAGGCAAAGGTATATTTTGAAAGAGTTCCCTAGTGTGAATTTGCTGAAAAAAAGTAACATTGAAAACTACCCTAATTTGTTCATAAACTGGATGCTATATATCCAAAAATAATCAAGCTACAAAAAAAATTCATGAGGAAAAGTTGCTTGTCCATTTATTATGAACAACTTTCATACGGGTCAATTTGCTGTTAAACAAACTTTTTGAAAACCACCCCAAAGGGCTCATGAAAAGTCCGGAAATAATAAACTTATAAAAAAAATTATTAGGAGAACTTATAGAGAACGTTCTTATGTACAATTTGCGTCTAATTATTTTGTTGTAGTAGAGTTTTAAAAAAACCACCCCTACTGCTCAAAAACCGCAAGGGGAAAATTTCTGATTTTGTTAATTTTACACTCAGAAGACAGTCGCTGACAAACTCTGAAAAAATCAGCTTGCCCGTATTTTTTTTTCACTCTCTATACAGCGATACAATTTTACTGGATTATTCTCCAATTTTTTTTCCAAAAAATCTTTTTGAGCTTACTAAAAAGTGTTTTATTTTTACAATTACTAAATGAAGCTTGATATACAGGATAATTTAAATCTCGGAAACAATTTATTGTGACAGTTAATCTATAAATATAATCTTATACAGGGTGGCGCACCTCATTCACCTCAGTTGATTATACAAAAACGGAAAACGTAGAAACAAAATATTTTATGGGTATATTTAAATAGATCGGTAATTTTTGGTACGTCTGTATAGATTTAAGGAAGCAATACAATTTTTCAGTAAAGTTTATTTCTCTACCTTTAAACTCAGCACAAGAATTAATTCTGAAAAGTAATGTACAGGGTGTTTATAATCTATTCTGTTGTAGCATGCATATTTAACTATCTGTAAATATCTCAAAAATCAAAGATTTTAAACATATATTTAACCCTTATAATAAATTCCCTTTTTTAGGTCCAAGAATACAAAAATGAAATAAAATACCAGGTGTTTCATAATAAAAAATATAACTTTGGTATAGATCTTTATTCTGAAACACCGCGTATATTTCAAAATAATTTTAAATTGTGCACATTGCCTCCCCACATATACCCATAAAATATTTTGTTTCTACATCTTTCCGTTTTCGTATAATCAATAACCGATGCGAATGAGGTGTGCCACCCTGTATAATGCATAAGACAAACTTTTGTTGCTTAAAACTCATATTTTTATTGAAAACCTACACATGTTAATAACAAAAATATTATTCTTTCTGCATTCCTATTCTACATGTTGTTTTTGACCAGACCCGTAAATACTATTTATTTCTTATTTCTCTGTAGATTTATTTCAAATTGATTTATTAATGAACTGTTTTTCACTACTCACTATCAATTATTTCTTAGTTATTGACCCGTTACTATCTTTAATAGCATTTTGTCATACTACAATAATAAAATATCTCTGAATTAAGTCATTTAATTGTAATGTTCTTGTAACAAATACGAGTATATTTTTCTAATAACAAGGTTTATTTACGTTGTTTACTGTAACTTGTTTCTTACAATGATCTCGCTTTTGTTTTTTTTTGTATGCCAAATTAAAATAAACCCAAAAAATGTATTCAAATTCAAATTAACCGGGAAAAGACGTATGTCTTTGATAGCACCTGTACATTTAAAGTTATTAATTTTCTTAGAAGACTTAGAAGAGTGCAATAATCCTAATCATATTTGTGGTTTTATGTGAAAAGTTTAATTTAAATGTTTTTTTAAATAAAAGATGCAATAAAATTCAAAATTCATTCTTAAAATTAACATTTTAAATTATGCTAATGATCGTATGTCGCAGATAACTCTGTATGGAACTTCCACAGCCACAGTTTCATAATTTTGTCGATAGAGAGCGCAATATTTTTTTAAGAACATTGATTTTGCTGTATATTTTCAACTATTTTATTCAGATTTACTTTTAAAACGAATAAATAATTGTATAAATGCAATAGTGCACCTTATAACTTACTAGTAAACGTATAAAATACGAAATTATTTTTTTTGGGGAAATTATTTTTTGCAATTGGTGACACTGCAATGACAAACATCAAACAGCTGTTTCGCGACTTCTGTCAAAAGTCAAAATAAAACTAATGCCTGATGCCTGCCGGTGTAAACAATTAGTTTATTCGTTGTGGATTAGTAATTTCTCTTTCCCAAGGCCGATTATCGATTAAAAGAATTATCATTTCTAAAAATACCTCTTTTATGAAGCACACAAGCTCTCTATTTAGATTCGATATCAAAATTAAGCGTACGCCCCATTTCGGTAAGATGTTACTTATTATTCAAACAGTTTTCACTGGATATTGGGCGTGTCATGACCTAAAATTACTCTTTTATTACAGGACTGTTATTTCTGTTGCTGTTAGTACACGCTACAATGTCCGCCAAGCAAGAACTACAAACTGTCGTCCAAGGTAACGGTTTATTTACCAAACAACTCTATGATGTTTTGTCCAAAGAAAAAGGCAATGTATTTTTCTCGCCTATCAGCGTTCATGCCGTGCTTTCCATGGCGTATCAGGGCTCAAAGGGCGCCACTCACGATGCCCTAGCCAAATCATTAAACCTTCCTGATCATATCGCAGCTGCAGAAGGATACTACGATGTTTTAACCCAACTAAACAACATTTCTGGAGTCGAACTCGCCTTAGCCAACAAAATTTACATCAAAGACAGCCTCACCCCTAAAGCTAGCTTTAGAGAAGTCATAGAAAAGAAATTCTTATCTGGCATCGAACCAATCAAGTTTACGGAGTCAGAAAAAGCCGCGAAAACAATCAATACATGGGTGGAACAGAAGACCAAAGATAAAATCAAGAATCTGATTAATCCGGGAGACTTAGACGATTCTACGGCATTGATTTTGTTGAACGCTATCTACTTTAAAGGTAATTGGGGTTTGAAGTTTAACAAAGATGCTACAGAAAAGGATAAATTCTATGTGAACGATAACGACTCGATTGAAGTCGATATGATGTCTAATAAGGGCAAATTTAACTACAAGGAGGACCAGAATTTGGACGCCAAGGTGTTGGAATTGCCCTACAAGAATCCCGATGTCAGTATGATTATAATTTTGCCGAATAAAAGGAACGGTATTGCTGAGTTGGAGGCAAAGTTAGTGGGGGTGGATTTGACAAAGATTACCGAGAATATGTTCAGGCCTGAGGTGGTAGTGCGCTTGCCCAAGTTTAAAATCGAGACTACGATTGAGTTGAACGAACCTCTTAAAAAGGTAGGTAGTTTTTTAAGTGTATAAAATTCTAGGTCAATGAGTCATACTGGTATTTTGAAGAGTATTGTTCTTTTTGTGCTGTTTCTTAATGTGCCAGGGCCATACATCACTTAAATTAGTCAAAATTATACAGGATGGTCCACTATTTAAGATTTTTATTTCAAACTTTTTTTAGCTATAGACTAATTTAAAAATATTTTAGTTATTAAAGTTATTTATATCTATAGCTTGGTCTTGGAGTACTTTTTGGACAAAAAGCTGATTTTTCTGAAATGTTGGAATCTGCAGAACCGTTGGCCGTCAGTAAAGTAGTTCAAAAAGCATTTATTGAGGTCAATGAGGAAGGCACAGAAGCTGCAGCTGCTACAAGTAAGTTTTTTTTGCTTTGCAACAGAGTCAGACGACTGTAACTGTATACATATTTTTTGTCTTCATTGAACGAAAAAAATTAAATTTGTTTACTATATTATTCCAAGTTTAATATAAATTGTTATATTAGAATCTCTAATAATATATGTTTACAATTGTCTGGTTAAAAGACAAATTCATTTACTGTAAAGTAAAGAAATTATGGAAAGGAAGTTTTTGATTAAATATTTTTTTTATCAAATTTTTCTTCTGAGCATTATATACCCGATGTTTCAAATCGTAAAGGGTAAGAGATACAGGGTGGCTTAAATTCGGGCAAAGTTGCTTGTGATACAACAGACGTTAGTTTATGGCGATACCTACTATTTAATATTTTTCTTTTTTAAACATTTTAATATTTGTCATGATATAATAATATCAAAATTTAGTTTCCTATTTTTTTTTAGTTCCTGTGTCGTAAATGTTTTTTTTGTAATTTCTTTATTTTACATTAAAATAAATATGATTGTCTATGTCCCAAACTATTAAAAAAAATTGATTTAAGACAAAAAAAAAGAACAAAATGATATAAATAAAAGTTTTGGACATTCAAAAATAGAAAAATGCTTATTGTGGTTTGGGTGGCTTTATATTAACCAGTGATTTTTTTGCGTATATACCGTACGATCGAAAAAATTCGGCGTCAAATTGGCTGGGAATATCACCAAGTAATTTTACACACATAATGACAGCAACCTTTATTTCCAAGCCGACTCTTACGCTGTTTTTTTCTTTCTTATTCGGTATATTTTGTGTTCTGTCAGCTTTTAACCAAGGAGCTTACATTGACATTTAACACTTCCTGTCATTTAAACATATAAAAATTGGTATATCATTCAGAATATAAAATTAAAAAAAAGCATCTTACAATATAATGTAAAATTTCTAATATTTTTTTTTATTTTGAATATACAGGGTGATCCAGTGTTGCGAAAAAGCTTCATACCAAGATTTCTGTTTGATATTTTTACTACATTTTTTTTTGTAAAATATACGCAAATAATAATAGCGCACAATTTAAACATATTCTCGTAGAGACACAGGGTGATTGAAATATATTTTCACCTTAAAATTACATGACTAATATTTCTGCAATAAAGTTTTTTAAAGAGTAAAAATGCTCAAATTATTGAAGCTATTTAACTGCAAGTATTTTACGAAAAAAACTAGCCCACCCTGTATAGCGGTTTATAAAGCGTCGTGCATTTTTCGAAGGATTTTTAATACAATTTCGGAAGTTTTTAACAATATTATATCTCTTCTTCACCAAAAACATTATATATAGTGCTCTTCAAAAGTATGTAGTTGTGATGGTATATTTTTCTTTATTGAAGACGGTAAAACACATGTAAGTAATCGAAATAACACTGTATAGATAAAAAAATAATTGCTTAAACGTAAAATTAAGAGAAATAAGTTAGAATAGATACTATTAATTACTTTTTAGGTATGTTCATACGTGAAAGGAGAGCGATACAGCTGAATGAAGAATTCTACGTAGACAAACCTTTTATCGTGTGCCTGATCGATCGTGCTTCGAAGAACGAAGGCGCCATTTTGCTTTTTTGTGGAAAAATGACAAATCCTGGCAACACTGCAAGAGTTGAAGAAAATAAAATACACGAAGAACTTTAAGAAAAAAAATTAATAAAGCCAAAGAATATTATAGTTTTAAGAACTCTCGTGTGGAAGCTTTAGTGATTTGTCATACGGTGGCGCTTTTGAACATAATCGAAGCCTGAAAATGCTAATATTTTAATTTTTGAGGACTACGCGCGGCGATATTTCGTACGGTGTTGCCAAACATATTTTATTTCTCGATATTTAAAGAAATATGTATTGATTATATATTTCGTATATTCGATAGTACATGAGGCATCCTAAGGCTATGAAAAAAAAACGTAGCTATGAAAATAAAATTTTAGATTTTTAATTTTTTTGTACCTTCTAATAAAAATTACTTCTATTCCAATAAAAAATTAACTAGTATGACTATGTGTTATCTGTGCTAGTATTAGGAAACTGGAGTAAATACGGAGAATATTAATTCGTTCTCTAAGATGAGCACTACTAAGTAATTTTTTAAAATTCGACCCATAAGGGGGTGTAATTAGATAAAGGGATATAATTATACAAAAAAAAATCTGTACCTACTAGGAGTATGAACTTTTGCACAGATGTGGCGCATTTGAACATTGATAAGCGATTTTTGGAAATGTATAGCCTAAGGGTAGTGAAACTGGGGGGTGAAATTTTGTACAAAAAGTGTTAGTTCTAGGAGTATGAAATTTTGTACAGAGTTTCCTTAAGTGACGAAAGTGAGTACCTAGAAGCTAATTTTTGACATTCATCCCTTAGAAATAAGGGATGAAAATTTGTAAAAGGTTAAAATCGGTTTTAGAAGTATGAATTTTGCAGACGTTCCTTATGTAACGTAATTTAGCATTAAGAAGCAAATTTTGGAAATTCGCCCTCTAAGGGTGTGAAATGAGGGGTTGAACGTTCTGGAACAATAAATTCTGTTCAAGGAATATGAGAATTTGCACAGAGGTTCCTTATGTAGCGTAATTGAATAATTAGAGTGATTTTTGGAATTCATTCCTTAAGGGGGTAAAACTAGGGGTGAAAATTTGTATAATTTTTTTTATGTAAAATCCGTTCTAGGACTAGGAGTATGAAATTCTGTTCAGAGGTCCCTTAAATGATGAAAGTGAGTACCTAGAAGCGAATTTTAGGCATGCATCCCCTAAAAATTAAGGGATGAAAATTTGTACAAAAATTTGTTAAAATCGGTTTTAGAAGTATGAATTTTGCAGACGTTCCTTATGTAACGTAATTTAGCATTAAGAAGCAATTTTTGGAAATTCGCCCTCTAAGGGTGTGAAATGAGGGGTTGAACGTTCTGGAACAATAAATTCTGTTCAAGGAATATGAGAATTTGCACAGAGGTTCCTTATGTAGCGTAATTGAATAATTAGAGTGATTTTTGAATTCATTCCTTAAGGGGGTAAAACTAGGGGTGAAAATTTGTAATTTTTTTTATGTAAAATCCGTTCTAGGACTAGGAGTATGAAATTCTGTTCAGATGTCCCTTAAATGATGAAAGTGAGTACCTAGAAGCGAATTTTAGGCATGCATCCCCTAAAAAATAAGGGATGAAAATTTGTACAAAAATTTGTTAAAATCGGTTTTAGAAGTATGAATTTTGCAGACGTTCCTTATGTAACGTAATTTAGCACTAAGAAGCAATTTTTTGGAAATTCGCCCTCTAAGGGTGTGAAATGAGGGGTTGAACGTTCTGGAACAATAAATTCTGTTCAAGGAATATGAGAATCTGCACAGAGGTTCCTTATGTAGCGTAATTGAATAATTAGAGTGATTTTTGGAATTCATTCCTTAAGGGGGTAAAACTAGGGGTGAAAATTTGTATAATTTTTTATGTAAAATCCGTTCTAGGACTAGGAGTATGAAATTCTGTTCAGAGGTCCCTTAAATGATGAAAGTGAGTACCTAGAAGCGAATTTTAGGCATGCATCCCCTAAAAAATAAGGGATGAAAATTTGTACAAAAATTTGTTAAAATCGGTTTTAGAAGTATGAATTTTGCAGACGTTCCTTATGTAACGTAATTTAGCACTAAGAAGCAATTTTTGGAAATTCGCCCTCTAAGGGTGTGAAATGAGAGGGGTTGAACGTTCTGGAACAATAAATTCTGTTCAAGGAATAAGAGAATTTGCACAGAGGTTCCTTATGTAGCGTAATTGAATAATTAGAGTGATTTTTGGAATTCATTCCTTAAGGGGGTAAAACTAGGGGTGAAAATTTGTATAATTTTTTATGTAAAATCCGTTCTAGGACTAGGAGTATGAAATTCTGTTCAGATGTCCCTTAAATGATGAAAGTGAGTACCTAGAAGCTAATTTTTGACATTCATCCCCTAGAAATAAGGGATGAAAATTTGTACAAAAGGTTAAAATCGGTTTTAGAAATATGAATTTTGCAGACGTTCCTTATGTAACGTAATTTAGCATTAAGAAGCAATTTTTGGAAATTCGCCCTCTAAGGGTGTGAAATGAGGGGTTGAACGTTCTGGAACAATAAATTCTGTTCAAGGAATATGAGAATCTGCACAGAGGTTCCTTATGTAGCGTAATTGAATAATTAGAGTGATTTTTGGAATTCATTCCTTAAGGGGGTAAAACTAGGGGTGAAAATTTGTATAATTTTTTATGTAAAATCCGTTCTAGGACTAGGAGTATGAAATTCTGTTCAGAGGTCCCTTAAATGATGAAAGTGAGTACCTAGAAGCGAATTTTAGGCATGCATCCCCTAAAAATAAGGGATGAAAATTTGTACAAAAATTTGTTAAAATCGGTTTTAGAAGTATGAATTTTGCAGACGTTCCTTATGTAACGTAATTTAGCACTAAGAAGCAATTTTGGAAATTCGCCCTCTAAGGGTGTGAAATGAGGGGTTGAACGTTCTGGAACAATAAATTCTGTTCAAGGAATATGAGAATTTGCACAGAGGTTCCTTATGTAGCGTAATTGAATAATTAGAGTGATTTTTGGAATTCATTCCTTAAGGGGGTAAAACTAGGGGTGAAAATTTGTATAATTTTTATGTAAAATCCGTTCTAGGACTAGGAGTATGAAATTCTGTTCAGAGGTCCCTTAAATGATGAAAGTGAGTACCTAGAAGCGAATTTTTAGGCATGCATCCCCTGAAAAATAAGGGATGAAAATTTGTACAAAAATTTGTTAAAATCGGTTGTAGAAGTATGAATTTTGCAGACGTTCCTTATGTAACGTAATTTAGCACTAAGAAGCAATTTTTGGAAATTCGCCCTCTAAGGGTGTGAAATGAGGGGTTGAACGTTCTGGAACAATAAATTCTGTTCAAGGAATATGAGAATTTGCACAGAGGTTCCTTATGTAGCGTAACTGAATAATTAGAGTGATT